GGGGGGGGGGGGGGGGGGGGGGGGGGGGGGTGGCCCCCCCCCCCCCCGGCTGCCCCTGGCCACGAGCTGGCGGCTGACGCCATCCTGAGTCCTCGCGCATCTCACCAGGGGGAGGGGGTTTCCCCTCCACGTGCTGCCCCCCCCCCCCCCCAAGCCGGTCCCGCGCCTGCCCGGGGGCCTGGCGGCTGCAGGTGCTTCGCGCCGCGGCCCAAGGTCACAGGGGCTCCCTGCCCGCTCCGAAGCGGGAGCCTTTGCTCCCTCCTCCAGGCCGCGAAGCGAAGCGTCCGCGGAGCCCCATTTCCGTGGGCCCGGGAGCATCCCATGTGGGGAGAGGGGGGCGGGGATCGCAGCCTCGTAGGGCCCCTTGTCTGAGAGTGCTTGCCAGCCCAGCCGGGGCCCAGCCAGGGGGTCCGCACAGACGTACCGCGAAGCGGGTCTCATGGGACCAGAGCAACTGCGGCAGCCCTGCACCTCGCTTGTCCTCACCTTGATGTTGCCGAGGAAGATGCAAAATCCGCTGACCGTCTCACCCCAGGGCAAGGAGTCCCTGACTCATCGGGCTTTGCCCACATCGTTTTCCCCCTTGTGTCGGGAGGTGCCCGCTGAGGCTGAACCATACATCTACATCTACCCCTCCAAGACTGGCAGGACAAAGACGGAAACAGAGAGTCTTTTTATCTTCCCTCTGCTTCCCTACTAGAGACGGGAACCTTGTACTGTGCCTCTGGTCTTTTAACCTTCCCTTCCACTGACAGGCTTCCACAGATCCGCTTCACATTAGGCATCTTGAATGGCTGAATTTAAAAAAAGAAAAGTTCCCCTTGCTTTAAAGGCCTTCTGGGGACTTTGGCTATTTCAAATAGATAATGCCATATATGGCTCCCCATGGATTTAAGATTGCATTTGATATAATTTTCCATACACACTGCTCAAACATTTTGCAATATTAAGACTCGCAAGACAGTGGACGGTGCATGGGAGAATTGACAGAAAACTATAGAGTATTTTTACACAACACTGGTTGCCAAGTGTTTTGTTGTAGTGAAATGTAGCAACAGTCGACGGTGAATTTTTCCACCATGATAAACTGTTCATCCTTGTAAAAACTAAAATATACATAAAATCATAAACTAAAACCTTCGACGACATTGTCCAGGACTATACTCCTAGAATGGTTCATCTATTGTGTCCCTCTGTGTTTAAGTTCTGAACTAGCTCAGAAGTACAAGAGATGTAATAGTACTGAATACCTTGAAAATAACTTGTCTCAGTGAATGGTGTTTGCCCCTTGGGTTTATGTTTATTGCATTTGCCTGTTCTGAAAGTATTATTTTTGTGTCCTGAGCCCCAATTACTGTTGAAACTAATTTCTGAAATGCCCTCCCATGGGAGGGCATTGACAGCTGCATTTCTCAAAGTGACTAATTTGTTGCTCTGGAGTAACATGTTTAAAACAGGCTTATAAATACTGGGCAAAATATTATGTTAACTCACATTCTGGGCAATGGGCTTGTTGTGGATTGCAAATTGCTCATAATTTCACTCCCTGAGTTTATATTTAGGTGTGGAAGGATCAGATTTTAGTTGGTAAAAAACAATAATCATTAATTTCTTTATCCACTCAAAAATACTTAGAAGGGAAAGGTGAAAAAAATAGGATATGTTGCAGTTTTAGACAACTTACTATGATGTCAAGTCTGTTTGGCAGTCAACTAGAAATTAATCTTAAGAAATAAAAATTGTATTTTGGAAGCTGTTATAAATCTTCTGTGGCTGCCTAATTGACTAGAGTATGAGTCTTACCTTCTAATGCAAAAATGTAAGTTGATAACATTTTTTTAAAAGCTTAGAAACAAAATATGTGGGAGTAATTGAACTGTCAGCATTAACTTAAAAAAAGAACATTCCAAGCTTGTTGAACTACACCTCTACCCCGATATAACGCTGTCCTCGGGAGCCAAAAAAATCTCACCGCTTTATAGATGAAACGGCGTTATATCGAACTTGCTTTGATCCGCCGGAGTGCGCAGTCTCTCTCCTCTCCTCCTCCCTCCCCCTCCGAGCGCTGCTTTACCGTATTATATCCGAATTCATGTTATATCGGGGTATAGGTGTAATTTGTATAGTGGGGAATATTGAATTGACAGATACTAGAAAGAAAAAAGTTTTCATATTTTTGATCACTTGTGTTTCCAGTAGGCTAACTGCTAAAGTTGATATGTGATTATCACTCTGAAGAAACAGTTTTAAATATTTATGGTATTACAATGTGTAAAATTATTAAAAAAAAATAAGATCTGAAAGATGTTCTGGGTCTGCTGGACTCAAAACATCTAATTTGAGAGATAATGCCTGAGAATGGAGTAGTAGAGTGCTTCTCCTGCCTTTTGATTATTCCGTCTGACATGGCTTCTGTTTTCAAATCTCTTTGCTGCTCCTTGTGTCTTGAGATTTATTACTTTCGCTACCTAGACTTCATGCTTACTGCCAAATATTACAGTTCTGACATTCATGGAAGCCTGGTAAACTCATATAATAAAATAAGACTTTGATTAGTTCACTGTCTTCCCGCTGTATTGAGAAATAGGGTAATGGTAATGAAGGGAGGGGAATTTGTGCCATACAGCACATGGAATTTTAGTTTTGTAAATTTGGGATTTGTGGTTGAAAATATTTAATACCTGAGTATATAGTCTCATACTGCTATGAGCCCCTAAGACTCGTTCTCTCTCGACTACTGGTGAAACCTGCTTCTTTTATTTCATACCATATTGGTTATGATTGCCTATATAATTGAAGGGAAAACGACATGAGATTCCAAGGCAAATCACCTAGGTGATACATTATACACATAAGGGCTGTAATCCTTTGCACTAGCTGGGGCACATAGAGATTTTATGGATACTATTCACTGCAGTTACTACTTAAACTACTGTGTGCCAAAGAAAATGGTGTACTCCTGGAGGACTCTGTAGCCTACTGAAACTACATTGAAAACAGCTGATGTATTCATCAGCGAGGATATTAATTGGAGATTTAGTTTAATAAGTGTCTTTGTTATAGTTAATTCAAAACTTTCACGTTGTTGAAAGTTTCAATTGTTGTGTAATATTTCTGGGCATAGTTAACACATTGACTCCAGAGGTGGGATGGAGCTGCTTTGCATGTCATATATTCCTCCTCCACTTGTATTGTCCCATGCAAACTACTCTGGGATGAGGTGAAGCATGCAAAATTTCAGAATGATCTGCTTTGTTTGAGAGAAGTTAACTTCAGCCTTACTATGGGTTGATTACAGCAGCTCCATAATATCAGTTGTTATATATAGCTTTGTGAAAACATTGATTTTTGTGAGTGAGAGAGAAGTACACTTGCACAATACTTGAACTGATGGCAAGAGTTTACTAACTACCTGTCCTTAAGTGTTTGTACAAGCAAAGCTGTAAATGGCCAAGCCTCAGCTTGTGTAAGACTCATGAGAACAGGTTGATGATGGTATAAGCTAAATGTTGCAAGATGAGCAATCCTCTTGCACTGTCCTTTCTTAAATATTTTGCTTCTGTCAGCTTTCCTTTATATTGTGCCTGTATCCTTGTTTTAGGCAGGTGGGTTGGTTAAATAGGGTTTACTTTTGCTCAGTATATTAGAATCCATCCATCGCAGAGCTGAAGGCTAAGATTGTCTTGGCTTTTGCCATTCTATAGTATGCATATAAATAGAAGTGCTCTATTTACATACAGCTGCTGTAGTTGACCTTAGACAACCCTTCTTTTTTGTTTGAATATTTGTCTGTGAAGTAGCTAGAAATAATTTATAATGGAGTTGGAAGGTTTCAATGGTCATTATCGAGAAGGGGAACTCCCTGCAGTCAAACAACTAGATGGTCTGTCAGAAACCCACAGATGGCATATTTTTTTTTTATATTTGATAACCTGACATAGAATAGTTGTATGTGGCAGATGAAGAGCGTATTGCTAATCCAGAGTCCTTGGTTTAAAACTAAAGCTAAAATCGTTGCCTTTTTTATTTATAATAAAATTTAATTGTGAATATTTTGTTATACACAAAACTACCTGATTTATTTAAAAAAAATCTTTGTGTGGTTCCTATTAGGCATTATTAGAAACTTTGTTTTCACAGAATAGGTACAGCATAGGAAGAAGCAGTGAAGGCTCTCTTTTGGGGGGACCAGATCTAAGGAAGAGTGCAGTTCTCATCTTGGCCACTTTGGTGAGACTGCTAGCAAAACTGTTTTTGTATCTGCTTATGGGCAATTGGATGGAAAGAAATTTGCTTCACTCAGATAACCAAATGGACCATCTGGTGGTAGGCTTTAAAACCTTATCCAAACCAAAAAATGGCATGTTACTCGAAACTATTGTCAGCAATGTGTGGGTTCCTTTGAACTGATGCTGCAAACATTTCAATGCCTAGAGACAGGACAAAACCATTTTTAGCACCATTGTGGAAAACATTCTCAACATGTAAGCCTAGTTTAATAGTATCTTCCAGGAAATCTCCCTCTGTTGCGCACTACTGTGGGTGCAGCTTCACTGGTGGTGGTAAATGGTGGGCGTGCCCAGGCATTTTTACTTTTGTATCATTTAGACCAGCTTTCGGCAGAGTTGGGTTATATGGCAGTTAAAACACTGAAGCCCTGTATACACTGGTATCACTGGTGAGGATATGGTAATGATCATTCCCCCAAAACAATTTAAGTGTGGATGTAGTCAGTGTTTTTGTAAGAGTGCTGAAAATTGTCCTTTGTACACTGATAGTCGTTTTCTGGACTGGTTCATGTGAACCCACTGACAACTGTTCTCAGCAGCAAATCAGTTTTCTAGTGCAGATAAGGCTTATGTCATTGCTGATCTGGTCCATCTACGAACCAGTGACTTAGAGGTGAAATCCCTGATCCATCTAGGCAAATTTTAAAATACTATTTAATAAGATTAAAATTTGTACAATGTGTTAATTATTTTTAGACTCTGGAAACCTAAATTCTTAAAGCATTTTTATTTACTATCATTTGCTGAGCAGCTGAAGTAAGCTTGAGATGTCTTGGAACAAGTTGGTGTAATGTGTGTTTTAAAAGAAATGCAAGAAAAATTAAAATTACAGCTCCTGGAATCAAATTTTAGCTCCTGAGGCTTGACTGCAGCCTTTTTCTAAACTGCCATACCTCCCTGGAGCTCCTAGCTCAAGTGAACAAGTGAAATCTATGCTACCACTACTAATCTTCTTCTGTACAGCAGAATTATCCAAAATTCCGGATGATTAATTACTACTGCACTCACAACTCGGTAAATTAGCAACAGCTAAGCTGACTGGTGCCTTATGGCAGCCATTGTTAGGGAGTAGCTATTTGTTTAATAGAGCCAGTTTCTTCTGCATAAAGCAGGTGAGAGGAAGTTGCAACATTTTCTCATAGGGTAAAGTAGCTCTTTTTTTTTTATCTACGGGCTGAGAATGGGAAAAATACAAATGAAACTTTCTCCTCTCATTGGGAGACACTTCTTTCTGACTTCAGCTGAGCTATACACTGCACTATAGCAAAGTGGAAAACAAAAACAATAGATCATTTCCTCTTTTCTCTGGAGAAAGATCATGAAAACAGGACATTTTCTTACGAAGTAGACCGCCCTGTCATATTAGTGTAAACTCAGTTACTTACTAAAATATAACAGGTGGACCTTTAAGATGCTGGTTCTGAGTAAGGGCCAAATGTTGGGATGGCCTTAAGTTAGCTTTTAATTATGGGATGCACTTTTTGTATATGTAGGGTTTTTTTTAAATGCTAAAATTGATATGCATGTGCATACAGTTGCAAATCAGGTAGTCCAGCGTCTGTGCACAAATAGAAATTTTGGGGCATGCTGTAACATGGAGAACTTGTGGGTACCGATTTAGATGCTGTTTCTGAAAACTTGCCCTTGACCTAGATTTCTGCTACATTTTAGTTTAAGAATTGGTAATTTTTTATAGTCTTAGTGTTTTGGTCCATAACTTCCTGATATACAACAGGCATGAGACTGTCCTCACTTGTTACTTTTAAACTGTATCATAAGGTGACATTGTAGGTATGGTTTCTCAGTTCAGTATTAAGGAGTTTTCTGGTGGTTGATCTCAATCCTGGAAGTCAGTGCTCCAAAGTTCATTTTTTAATTCAGTGTCTGACTTTCATGACTGTGGCCCGGTCACTTCTGTTTCACATTTTTCAAATCACAGGTGGATTAATAACTATTAAACACCTTGATGAACTCAGATGAAAGGCATTGTATGAATACATATGTCACTGTCATGCCTCTTGTCTTTGTAACAAAACTACAAATTCTGACCAACCAGCATACCTAAGCAATGCATTTTGATTGGTTTTCAAAGCTACCTATTGTGACAATTTTACTAAAACTAAATACTATAGTTTAGTATTCCAGATGTTCAGTGCACGAAATGAAACTTGACCTGCTGTGTTCTGTTTTTAAAGTGGGGAGCACACAATTTAATGTTTGCCATTTGGTTTCAACTGCAGCAAAAATATTTTTCATAAGTTAGTTAAAATGGGCTTGTCTTCTTTACCTAGTGCCTGAAGGTTCCTAGGAAACGCCTTCTTATTACATCACAATCTTTTTTGAATGTCACATTTCATATAAACTTATTTTTGGAAACTAAAATAATTTAAGAACTTACTAATGAGTCTGAGAGTCATTAATTTCAAGTAATTTTTTTAAAAAAAAAACACCCATCATTTCTAAAGTAGGATCAAACAAAACATGATGTGCTGACTGCACAGCAAAGTTTACAGAATTACTAGACTATGTATTTTCCTTGTGGGAAAGGCCTTGGCATTCTGTTCTGTTACCGTGAAGCAGAAATCTTTGCTATTGATTTTATGTGGAAGGTGCTCCAATACTATGGTAATGGGTAGCAGTATATAAGATAGTTTTATGCTATGGTAAGAGCCTGTTAGGAGAAGACTCTCTTCAGATACAACCAAATTAGCATAAATTTCCACTTTTATTTGGTATCTTGCGTTGTTTCTTCAAGCAGAGAGACTACCATACAAAAATGGTGCAGTCTGCAGTCTTAGGGCTGGTCTATACTTACCGGGTAGTTCGATGGCTGGGGATCGAAGTTCCGGGTTTGATTTATCGCGTCTGGTCTGGACGCGATAAATCGAACCAGGAAGTGCTCGCCGTCGACTGCGGTACTCCAGCTCAACGAGAGGAGTACCGCGGAGTCGACGGGGAGCCTGCCTGCCGCGTGTGGACCGCGTCTGAACCGCGGTAAGTTCGAAGTAAGGTATGTCGAATTCAGCTACGTTATTCACATAGCTGAATTTGCGTACCTTACTTCGACTTGGGGGGTAAGTGTAGACCAAGCCTTAGACTGCAAATCATTAATTTTGTGTTTCAAAAATTAGCTACAGAAGGATCTTTTTGTAGCCTGACTGTCAGGACTTTGTAACTAGCGGAGCCTAACTTCACTGCTCTTTAGTTTTCACCGCAGTTAACAAACAACTTGACCGAGATGCTGTCAGGTTAGATTTTTCCCTAGAATGATGTCGCTATTGTGAAAATGAGCTTTCCAAGACCTAAAGACCAAACAATAGAAATGTTTCCCTGTTTTTTATGCCAATATACATTTAAAAACTAAACTTTCCCCTGCAGTTTTTAACCTGAATTTTGTAGTTACTTTTCCTTTCACTTTCATTTATTAACTAGAATCTGACAGTAACCAAAAATGAATCTGACTTGTCTTCCAAGATAAGTGAAGTAGTAACATATAAGTAGCGAATAAATAATTACTTTTAATGTTTTGTTTGCTATGTAAGAGTTTCTTTTTATGGATTTTTGGGTTTGACTTTGTCTCTTTCTGATTTTTGGGAGCCCAAAGACAAGTGGGTGTAATTCACCTAAAGGACCAATTCCAGCTCTTTGATTTGAGAGTGGGGGGAAATTCAAATGTTGTTCTCTAAGTTTATAATTAGGTCAAAGGAAAAGCGGTATACAGAAGTTCCAGGAGATTGGAATTAATGATGCCTGAATTTTTCATTATTGCATCTAGTTCAACATGCTTTAAAGTGAAGCATATGTCTTTTAGTCATGATTCCCATTGAGCTTTTACCATATGGCACACAAGAGAAATTTGCTATACCATTTCCCTGTGTGTACGCATTTATTGCTTGACATTTGGAAGTTGGTACAAGATAACTTTAGTAATTGAGGTGGAATAAATTTTCATACACCAGTAGTTTTAAAGATAGTCCCTTGAAGAAGGAAAGGTAAAGTGAAGTACATTAGAGAACTTGGGAAATCTGCTATAACATTTATTCTTACAAAGGGGATTCAGGGACTGCAGTATTTGCAGTGTTTACATATCCCATTGGATACTCAACAGATGATTTTAATAACTGTAATCTAGTTGGGTTGTTGTTTATCCTTCTTAACAATTTTGTATGTTGTGTTCAACATTCAGTGTTTAATGGGTTTATTAAAACAGTCACACTGGTGTTCTCTGAGCTTATTCTCAGAGGGTCCATGCAAGATCCTACAAACTACTTCAAACCCTTAACTCGGGAATAAAATGATGAGTAGGTCCTTGCTCGTACTCTCTGAACCATGGGGATTTTCACAACATGAACAACCCCACTTGGTCCCAAAAAGTAGATAAGTAAAGATATTTGGTGTTGTCTTCTTTCTTCTGGATATTTTAATGTTGTTAGACGTATATTTTCTTTTATGAATGTCAAAGCTATAGATGTTTGATTTGACTTCTGCTTTTCTGGCATATTTCCTATCTGCTATTTCAAATGAGAATAAAATATATTCTTGGTATAAACGTGCAATCCTATACCCGTGGGATGCAGAAGAAATAATACTTCAGTGTTTTTAAATCCATCACTATACTAACAGTATGTAACATACCTGAAGATAATCTTGAAATAAAAATGGAAACTTAAAAGCAAAGGAGAAATGGATCTTCAGTGAGTAACAGGCCTTGAGTTCTTCAAAGTATGCTAAAATACTACATTAGCTAGATGAAAGCACAACAGGTTGTGTATGTTATTACTTAAAATAAATGCATCATGTTTGATTCAGACCTCAGACTTTAACCACAATATGTTGTTTGAATTACAGAAAGTTGTTTGTGGGTGGCCTAGACTGGAGTACAACACAAGGTAAGTTATGTATTCTACAGCCATTATACCAAAACATTACAAAGGACAAAACTTTATACCTCATACTTTCTTATAAAGTAATATAGTAGTAACATCTCTAGAAAATTGAGTCTTTACTACTAATCTTCGATTTTGTTGTTTTTAATGAATGACAGTAATAGAATTCCCGTAAAGAAACTTTAAATTTACGTTTCTCTCCTGACTGTGTTGTTCATCTTTACATTATGTCACTTTCATATCTCCTGGACAAGGATATGGGGAAATTTTATATTCCCTGGTTATGTTGGTTGATATTAGGAAAAGTTGGTTTTGATATCCCTTAAAGTGCTGACTCAGAAATAGCTGATCTGTTTTGAAAATTAATTTACTGCACTATTTTCTTCCATCTGCCTGAGTGGAGTTAAAACAATGAGCATCTTCTGTTTTCAGATACATGGCTAGTATATCCTCTTTAAATGATACAAATCATCAGATGCGAGGTTTTAGCAAGTGCATATTAGAAGATTTAGACATGTCAGTTTTACTAAAAGTTAAACTCTTTAATAGCTGGTTCTGCTTAATACCATATTTTTTAACAGAAACTCTCCGTAGCTACTTTTCCCAATATGGAGAAGTTGTAGACTGCGTAATAATGAAAGATAAAACAACAAACCAATCTCGAGGGTTTGGATTTGTCAAATTTAAAGATCCCAACTGCGTGGGAACAGTACTGGCCAGCAGACCACATACATTAGATGGCCGAAATGTAAGTTTACCTGTCACTTTGGTTTTAACTATTTAGAATATGACTAGGTCTTTAATATTTTTTTAAAATTGGTGAATTTAAAAGTAATTTGGGTGGTGGTTGACATATGAATAATTCAAGCTATGTTTAATTCAATGACTGTTCCTTCCAAAATGTGTAATCTGGGGGTAACTTTTATCAGAAGTGTTAAGTTTAGAGAATGGCATCCACAGGCGCTTTGAATGCATTTATTAGAGCAAAATATTCTGCACACTTAGAACTGACCAATTTGGAACTTGTTACAGATTGATCCAAAGCCATGTACACCTCGGGGAATGCAACCAGAAAGAACACGGCCAAAGGAGGGATGGGTAAGGAGAGATCCTTAAAGTATGCTGATAGATATATTCTAAGGTCTTTCTGGCTAGCAGCCTGCACTCTTCAGCCTGTACGCATCATGAATATCATGTTGGTATTTCTCTCAGTTCCTGATCATCTTACGTAAATTTTAGAAAGCTCTTTTACCTGCTTGGAACTGAGGGAGAAATGCAGAAGTGTTGGCGTAAAACACAGTAAGCAGTTGGTATTAAGGCCAGATGCCTTCTTAATTAAAGCTGACTACATTTTATATTATGGTGTGTGAAGGAGTTTACTTTCATACATGCTGCTTCAACAGAATTTTAGTTCTAACAGCCAAGTGTTTTTTTCATAGGGGTGCAGCTCTCATTGGAATTGTTGGTTATGCTACTAGGTCTTTTGTTCAAAGATTCTTGTGGTTTTAACTGACATTGTGACACATCTACTGATTGCTGCTGGGTGTACAACAAGCCAGAGTATGGAAATCAAAGAAATACTTTGACAAGAAGCAAGTATGATTGAATGTGGGTAATGGTGGTGGTGAAGATCTGTGACTATGCAAGGACAAATAGAGTAGAAGTTAAATTGTATGCTTTTGTGACATTTCAAACAGGCTAAATCTGAATTAGCTCTTACGTCTGATTTACAGGAGCCAAACAAAGTTCAAGAATTTCATCAACACTTGTGTAAGGGTTTTTGGAGGGAGAGAGATAGGGGGATGAATTAATTCAAAACTTATTTATGTTCCTTATACTGTGGTAGCATCAGGTATTTTGTACCACAGCTTGACCTCCACCACCACCTTTTTGGGGAAGAAAACTGGATTGTTGCTCTGTTTAAAGTTCTGCTATATTTTGAACATATTTTTTTCTGAAATATATTTATTTTATTGGTTTAATTTTAGTATTGTTCTGTCTCCTGGGTGTGTGTGTTTTTTGTTTTTGTTTTTAATCTAACTGGTAAAGTAGCTGTTTGTCTAGCATCTACTTTTTTTCCTATTCTTCAGGTAGTGTAACTTGTAAAATCTATGAGTGAGCATGCAAGGCACAAAATGAGGATGAAATCTTTGCAGTTATAGCCAAATTCTTGAGATCCCATTTTTGACTAGCCTTTTTTAATCAACTGATGTCCCTTTCAGTCTTCCTTTATGGTTAAGTCTACAAATTGAGTTCTGTTTCAGAGGGGTAGCCGTGTTAGTCTGTATCAGCAAAAACAATGAGGAGTCCTTGTGGCACCTTAGAGACTAATAAATATATTTGGGCATAAGCTTTCATGGGCTAAACCCACTTCATCAGATGCATGGGGGGAAAAATACAGTAGGCAGGTATATATATTACAGCACATGAAAAGATGGCACTTGCCTTACCAACTGGGGGGTTAGTGCTAACGAAGCCAATTCAATCAGGGTGGATGTCGCCCATTCCCAACAGTTGACAAGAAGGTATGAGTATCAACAGAGGGAAAATTACTTTTTGTAGTGACCCAGCCACTCCCAGTCTTTATTCAGGCCCAATTTGATGGGGTCCAGTTTGCAAATTAATTCCAGTTCTGCAGTTTCTTGTTGAAGTATGTTTGTTTTTGAAGTTTTTTTTGGTTGAAGAATGGCCACTTTTAAGTCTGTTATTGAGTGTTGAAGGTGATTGAAGTGTTCTCCTACTGGTTTTTGAATGTTACAATTCTTGATGTCTCATTTGTGTCCATTTATTCTTTTGTGTAGAGACTGTCCGGTCTGGCCAATGTACATGGCAGCGGGGCATTGCTGGCACATGATGGCATATATCACATTGGTGGATGTGCAGGTGAACAAGCCCCTGTTGGTGTGGCTGATGTGGTTGGGTCCTATGACAGTGTCCCTTGAATAGATATGCAGACAGAGTTGGCAACAGGGTTTGTTGCAGGGATTGGCTCCTGGGTTAGTGTTTTTGTTGTGTGGTGTGTAGCTGCTGGTGAGTATTTGCTTCAGGTTGGGGGGCTGTCTGTAAGCAAGGACTGGCCTGTCTCCCAAGGTCTGTGAGGGATCGTCCTTCAGGATAGGTTGTAAATCCTTTGTGATGCACTGGAGAGGTTTTAGTTGGGGCCTGTAGGTGACGGCTAGTGGAGTTCTGTTACTTTTTGTTGTGCCTGTCCTGTAGTAGGTGACTTCTGGGTACCCTTCTGGCTCTCATTCTGTTTCTTTGCTTCCTCAGGTGGGTATTGTAGTTTTAAGAACGCTTGATAGAGATCCTGTAGGTGTTTGTCTCTGTCTAAGGGATTGGAGCAAATGCGGTTGTATCTTAGGGCTTGTCTGTAGACAATGGATCGTGTGATGTGGTCTGGATGAAAGCTGGAGGCATGTAGCAGTCAGTAGGTTTCTGGTATAGGGTGCTGTTTATGTGACCATCGCTTCTTTGCATTGTAGTGTCCAGGAAGTGGATCTCGTGTGGACTGGTTCAGGCTGAGGTTGATGGTGGGGTGGAAATTGAGGAATTCCACCAGGATTTCAACAAGGGCCTCCTTCCCATGCATCCAGATGATGAAGATGCCATCACTGTAGCGCAAGTAGAGTAGGGGCTCTAGGGGACGAGAGCTGAGGAAGTGTTGTTCTGGGTCAGCCATAAAAATGTTGGCATACTGTGGGGCCATGTGGGTACCCATAGCAGTGCCGCTGGCTTGAAGGTATAAATTGTCCCCAAATCTGAACTGTGTTTCTGAAGAACAGTAAATCCTGAACATGAATTGCTTGGTGTAAGCTCCATCTATCTACTTGGGGAATATGATGGGGATATTTGGCTTCTACTGGAATAACTTACATTATAAAAAAAAACTATATTAACAATATTATAAATATTTAGTACTGCAAATACTCCCTTTCTTTTCAGCTCCCAGTTTCTAAGAAAATGAAAGGTGCTTGTGCTCAGAGGAAGAAAATTAAACAGTTCATGATATACTCTAGATAAGAGAATGATACAGGCATTATATTTGAAATGCCTGTGGGAATAGATGCACTTGGGTAAAATTTTCAGAAGGACTTAAATGACTTAGGAGCCTGAGTCCTTTCGATTTTCATTGAGATGTGTGTCCATCACCTTTTTAGCACGACTTGTGGTTCTGAGTCACGTAGCCACTTTTGAAAATTTTATCCTGAATGTCTATCCTGTAAGTGAATAAACTGAAGTAGAAACCATCTGACTACAATTTAGGACTGATCAGTGTAAATTCTCTGCTACCCTGTATTCTTCCCCCCCTCCCTCCCCCCACCCAACAAAAAAAAATTGTTCTAATTACCCAGAATTGTAGAAATCCATAAAAAAGTTACTTTAATGAAGTCTGTTTTACTTGGACTCATATCTTGATTTCCCAGAATAACATGTTTAGCCTTCCACTAATTGTGAACCAGGTCCACCTGGCTTGTAAATTCATGGTTGCTGAAATTGAGTATAGAGTCAACAATTGATAGGCTTTGACATTTTCTAGGCTGTAAGTTTAAAAAAAAAAAAAAAAAAGGGGGGGGGGAGGGGGGGGCTTTAGGTAATCCTTGACTGTGATTCTTCAATAGCCGTGGGGATGTTTAGGTAGAGTACAGTCCAGGTCTACTACAGATGTTCATCTTCATTTGGGCGATTCACTAATCAACATTCAAGTTTCTCCAATGACATCAGTAATACACCTCTACCCTGATATAACGTGACCTGATATAACACGAATTCGGATATACCACGGTAACGCAGTGGTCCGGGGGGGCGGGGCGGCACACTCCGGCGGATCAAAGCAAGTTCGATATAATGCGGTTTCACCTATAACGCGGTAAGATTTTTTTGGCTCCCGAGGACAGCGTTATATCTGGGTAGAGGTGTATTTTAATTACCCAACTTTTGTGGATTGAAAGAATGTAAATGATAGTGTCTAAAAATCCCCTTAAGGTTATTTGCTATCCCAGCACAACCCACAACCTGCTGGTTAATACTGCTTAATTAAGAAATAAATGCTTTCAGAACATTGCCCTCAGTTCTCCATCCTTACCAAGAAAGGACACCAAGTTATAGCTAAGCATACCAAATTAATGAATCCAGAACACGCTTTTGCTCCATTTGAAACAAAATGGGTGTCTTCCAAGTTTGGACTTCAATTTGAATTGTGACTTTGTTAGTCCTAGAATGCAAAATGGATTAGAGCAACTCACCTTCATGTACCAGTGAAGGAAGATTATGCTACAGTGTTTATCACAGTTCTAACTAATAGTATTTTATCCCTCTTGATTTAGCAGAAAGGACCCAGAAGTGATAACAGTAAATCAAATAAAATTTTTGTTGGTGGGATCCCTCACAACTGTGGCGAGACTGAGCTCAGGGAATACTTCAAGAAATTCGGAGTGGTGAGTCATTCATCATCATGGCAAGCATCGGCTGGTTACAAGATGTTTTTCCCCCGTCTTCATTCTGATTTCATTAAGCTGTCAAATTTTAGTGTTAATTTAGGCAAACTTCCACAGAGACATATTGAAGTGTTTTGTGATAAAGTATAGTAAATGTTTACTTTTGCAGCACATTTGCCATTTTTCATCAGATCGCTTGCCCTCATGTGCGCAACTTGTTATGCACCTTCCCCTGCCTCCTTTGGTTTAGCTATTCCTGATACTATTTTCTCTCCCCTCTTCAAAGGGGGGGGGGGGAACCCTCAAGTTTAATTATGACTTGAGTATAGATGTGACTTATCACCCTCCTTTCAGCTGCTGTTTTAGTGTACCTTAGTTTGATTATGAAAACTTTCCATTTCCTTTTGGAACAGCAGGTACTTCAGTGAATTTGCATCATCACAGGTCTTTGTCCTCTAAGCAAATTGGTGAAAGACTTTTTGGTGATCCACTTGACATTGTTTTGGTTTCACTATGCTGTTTTAAAATTAACTGAGTCCTTTCGGTCTTCAGAATCTCATTTCTAGGGTCAGACTACTATTCATGCAGTTTCTTACTCATGCTTTTCTTGAAATTTTGCCCGCTTCAGTTTTAAGTCGATATAGAATGAAGATGTCCAGATATGAATTCATTAAACTCACATTTATTTCTACTTTTATTGCCAGATTTTTTCTGGAATAGGTAAATTGTTACAATGTTCAAAGATTAGTTTGTATATTAAGTTCAATTTAAAATATTGTGGAGTAGTATAAATTTTATGACTGTTCATGTCAATTGTACTGGTCATAATGTCAAAAGCAGAGATTCACAGTGGCTATTGGTTGGTCGCCCTAACTCCAAAATGCTTTTGTCACCATCTTCACCTTTAAATCACCTATCTTTCTAAATTCCATCAGCAGCCCAAAGCATCTATGTAGCCATCTTTCTCAAGTGGTATCATGATGTTTTTCAATGAAAGTTATTTAAAACAATCTTTTTTAAAAAAAAAATTATCAACACCAATGGCTAATAGATGTTTCTTTAGTTTGAAAAGCTGCAACAGACTGAGTTTACAAATAAAAATGGGGAGTGGAATCCATAGTTGTGGAGCATAATTTCTAAAGGCTCTTCTCGCAGACTTATGGCTTTCCAATTCTGACCTGGATGGCTTGGGAGATACAGGGTTAAGTTCCATCAGATATAGGAGGCCACAACCATTGAGTGTAAGTGCCATAAAAGTAAGTAGAAGCACTTTATAGTTAAAATAGAATTTGGGGAGCCAAAGTAGCATTCTTAAGACAAGAATTGTGTGTGTAGTCATTTAAGTACCTGTAGAAATATGGGATCCTGCATTCTGGGAAAAACACATTCAAGAGCACACAGAATTACAGGTATAGCAGCCTGAAAAACTAGAAGCTAAGACGACCACAAAAAGGCAGGCTCTGATTCTAAGAGACCTATGGGGATTGTTACTGACCAATATGGCAAGTAGGACGCAAACCAAGCAAAGTGGTATCGAACAGATGAGCGGAACAGATGTGTCAAATTAATATTATGGCTTGTTGTCATGCTTCCAAATGGCCTACCAGCTCTAAATGATGACAAACCTGAATCAGCAGAGTTCGATAATATACCTTCAAGTGAGTGTATCCTTTGTGGTGATCTCCAAAACATGACTGGAATCTTTCACAGAAGTTGGAAAGCAGGACAAATGAGTATCAGACTAATAGATTATTTCAGCTGCTTGAGATACAAATGTTCTAAGCTAAATTGAAAGTAGTTTTTTAAAGCAGGGATGTAGTGATATAGGAATAGCCACAAGATTGTTCTGAAACTGGAAACTTTCTGGTTTATTTTTATATTTAACTTGAAAATGGCCATATGACCTGCCTTTAAAATTGGTATTAAAATAAATGGCACCCCTGGGGTTAGTCTATGCATATCACCTTAATTGTGCAGTGAATTTTTATTCTGCAAAATCTGGAGAGGGGTGATTAATATTGAAAATAATCAGCCCTAAAGCAGTACAGATGAACTCTGTTTAATACATGCATGTGTTCTGTACTAGTTGTATAGTACTTTGGAGAGTCTATACTTCAGAGTATTTCAAAATAAAATGGAGACATCAATTCAGCTCCAATAAGCTTGCATTCTTTAATATTTTATGGAATTTAGTCTCAATACAAATTTTTCATAATAACTCTTGAGGCCAGTTGGCTTTTCCGTGTAATATTTACCAGTGTTTGCCAAGGAAACATTTTTTGAACTTTTATCCTGTTTTCCTACAGCTTAAATTATCACAGTTCTCAAAAACTTTAAGCTTCTCTCTCTATGGGTATGTGATAACATCTCAGATTTAACACCAGTTTTGTAATTTGCCATTTTAATCACTTCCATATTTAAAACAACAATCATTAGCATTACCCACTGGCATAACTTTGCCTAAACATCACAGAAATGTCTTATCTCAGGGACACCATGCTCCACAGAGAGGCATAAGCAGGAAAGCTACACAAATCCTATATTAGTAAAGTAGTTGGAATTAAGGCTACCTTGTTCAGGATGAGGGTGGAAATGTGCATGTTGTGGAAGAAAGGTAGTTGAGACTGAGAAGTAGTACTGAAAAGGGGTTTTGAATGATTTAATTGTTTGTTTCCTTATTTTTATGATCTGGTTGGTGGGATATGCAGTTTAGCAACTGTAACTCTAGTTTATCAATGTTTTTGGTGGGTAAAGTTTGTTGCAGTCCTAAATAAGCAAAAATGTGATTATACTTTAGTTGCTAGGACCAAATGAACTCAATTAGAATTTTCATAAATGGGAAATGTTGCTCTTTACTGGAGTTTATTTGCATTGTGCTGTGACAGACAAGTATTGATGGCTACATCAGGCATTTAATTGTGCTTTGTGGATTGAGTGCTGGAAACCAGCCTGTTCTACTCTGCTTGTATCACTCCCTTGGTAACATAGTTAGTAGAATTTCCCTTCTCTCTTCCAGGTCACTGAAGTTGTAATGATCTATGATGCAGAGAAACAGAGGCCCCGAGGTAAAGGCTGATCTAGTTTGTCCTTGAAATTTCTTCATCCTCTCCTGTAGTCAGATGGCAAACTATTTCACACCATCAAAAAACGTAGTGGTTTTTTTTTTGTTTTTTTGTTTTTTACATTGCCTCAGGAAAAGATTTCAGTGGACAAATATCACAAATGTCGGCTTTTCATACACAGCTTCATTTGGTGTCTCTGTTTTTAAAGTCAGATGTTACATGTTCATTTTTTTGCTGGTTCTTTTTACTTGAATATGAACAGAATTAAACATCTGAACCGAACACATGGTTTAAAATATTGAAAAAGTTCAATTAACTAATTTGCCTCAGATTTTCCCCCGTTTAACATGAAGGTATGTTAAAGTCTACAGTTGTGTTGTATTCAGTTTTTTTCTTTGCAGTTCAAATTATCTCTAAACATGAGATTGGAATCAGATCCATCCATTTGTGCTTTTTGTTTTTGTTAAATGTCTTTACTTGAAATTCAAGGAAAAACAATTTTCTTAAATTACATAAAATTGCCTTTGAGAAGTTGTTTATATGTTTGCAGGAACTATATGTCCCCATTCATACTAGAATTATTATTTTTGTTCCTTAAAAAGGAAAGCAATTAATAGGCTAGATGAGCAAGTCTGTAACCTTTGGTCAAAATATGAAGTAATTTTCATGTCATCCGCCTTTCATTGCATCAATCATCTATTTGTTGACTATTACAGAGGCACTATTGTAAAAGTACATGAAGTTTAGTTGGGGTATGTCTACACTACGAGAGTAGTTCGATTTTAGTTAAATCGAATATGTGCAATCGATATTAGAAAGTCGAACGTGTGTGTCTACACTAAGGACAGTAATTCGACTTTGTCAGTCCACACTACCAGGGAAAGCGTCGACATTGGAAGCAGTGCACTGTGGGCAGCTATCCCACAGTTCCCGCAGTCCCCGCTGCCCAGTGGAATTCTGGGTCGAGCCCCCAATGGCTTCTGGGTAAAAAATTGTGGCGAGGGTGCTTTTGGGTAACTGTCGTCATCCGTCAGTCACTACCGCCCTGCCTCCCTCCCTGAAAGCGCCGGCGGGAAATCAGTTCGCGCACTTTTTGATCAGTGACAGCGCGGACGCCACAGCACTGCGATCATGGATCCCGCTGCGACCATCGCTGCAGTTGTGGCCGTTCTCAACGCCTCGCACCTTATCATACACCTTTCCCAGAGGCAGATGCAGAGAAATCAGGCGAGGAGGCTACGGCAGCGGAGTGAGGGCCTGAAGTCGGAGAGTAGCACAGAGCTGTCAGAAACCACGACACCCAGCGCCGAGGACATCACGTTTGCAATGGGGCATGTGGATTTTGTTGAACGGCGATTCTGGGCCCGGGAAACAAGCACGGACTGGTGGGACCGCATAGTGCTTCAGGTCTGGGATGAATCCCAGTGGCTGCGAAACTTTCGCATGCGGAAGGGGACTTTCCTGGAACTTTGTGAGTTGCTGTCCCCTGCCCTGAAGCGCAAGGACACCCGCATGCGAGCAGCCCTGACTGTCCAGAAGCGAGTGGCCATAGCCCTCTGGAAGCTTGCAACGCCGGACAGCTACCGGTCAGTCGCGAACCACTTTGGCGTGGGCAAATCTACCGTGGGGGTTGTTGTCATGCAAGTAGCCAAGGCAATCGTCAAGGTACTGCTGTCAAAGGTAGTGACCCTGGGAAACGCGCAGGCCATCATAGATGGCTTCGCTGCGATGGGATTCCCAAACTGCGGTGGGGCTATAGATGGGACTCACATCCCTATCCTGGGACCGGGCCACCAGGCCAGCCAGTACATCAATAGAAAGGGGTACTTTTCAATGGTGCTGCAAGCACTGGTGGACCATCGGGGACGGTTTACAAACATCTACGTCGGATGGCCGGGCAAGGTTCATGACGCTCGCGTGTTCAGGAACTCTGGTCTGTTTAGACGGCTGCAGGAAGGTATTTACTTCCCGGACCACAAGATAACTGTTGGGGATGTGGAGATGCCTACAGTGATCCTCGGGGACCCAGCCTACCCGCTAATGCCCTGGCTCATGAAGCCCTATACTGGCGCCCTGGACACAGAAAAAGAACTGTTCAACTACCGGCTGAGCAAGTGCAGAATGGTAGTGGAGTGTGCTTTTGGCCGTCTCAAGGGGAGATGGAGAAGCTTACTCACTCGCTGTGATCTCAGCGAAACCAATATCCCCATCGTTATTGCAGCTTGCTGTGTGCTCCACAATCTGTGTGAGAGCAAGGGGGAGACCTTTATGGCGGGGTGGGAGGTTGAGGCAAATAGCCTGGCTGCTGATTACGCCCAGCCAGACAGCCGGGCGATTAGAAGAGCCCAGCGGGACGCGCTGTGCATCCGGGAGGCTTTGAAAGCCAGTTTCAAGGCTGAGCAGGGTACCCATTGACTTTTAAGTTTGTGGACACAGAAGCTGAACTTGCCCCCGTTTCTTTACCCAGTTGCCGTCGACTATCCTCTCCAATTACATACCCCCTTCACCCCCTTCCCAAAAAATAAAATCTGTTCTGTTTTGTTCATGGACACCGTTGTCTTTATTACTGTTTTCACGGGAATGTTTTAAACCTGGGACGCAGACTGTGGCGGGGAGCGGGTTTAGGGTTGTGATGCAAATGATGCTTCTAAACTCCAGGAATGACAGGCTCCGCGATGGTGGACTGGTTGTTTCAACGGAGCCTGCCAGCCCTCCTGGCCGGGACTGCGTGTATGTGTCGGCTATGTGACTGTCTTGCAGGGGGAGGAGGGTTACAGATCCCCTGCTGCGCGGCTCTGTGATCCAGGGTAAGGACCGCTGCATAAGATCTGTAACTGCCCTCCCCCGCCACCAAGTCACAGAGCAACACCACCGCCCCCACCACACAGAACATGAAAACCACCTCCCAGACTGACCAGGATAACTAGTCACTGCACTGTATATGTGCCCTGCTGCTGCACCTGCCCCCTGCTAAAGGTGACTGTCCTGTCCAATGACCAAGGCCCTTCCCCCCCCTCCAGACAGACTCCCCTCCAAAAGAAGAGGATGGAAACAGAAATGAACAGAAACGTATTCTTTATTAACAACCGCACATGGAACGGGGGGGTGAAACTTGGACGGGGTCTTGTGTGAGGCGGGTAGGAAAGGACTTTTCAAATTTTGGGGAATGAGAGCCTTCTAGTGGTAGAGCAGTCCGCAGGGGTGGAGTGAAATTTTTCCCGGCCCCTTCCACCCCTCCGTGTTTGGACTTTGGGTGAGGGGGGTATGGGACTTGGTGGCGGGGCAGGGCAGTTACAGAGAGACTGCAGCGGGGCTCTCTCCTCCTGCCTCCGGTCCTGCAGAACATCCACAAGGCGGCGGAGCGTGTCCGTTTGCTCCCTCATTAGTCCAAGCAGCGTTTGAGTAGCCTGCCTGTCCTCCTGTCGCCACCTCTCCTCCCGTTCAATGTTTGCCCGGTGCATTTGGGACAAGTTCTCCCTCCACTGTGTCTGCTGGGCTGCCTGTGCTCGGGAGCATTCCATTAGTTCAGCAAACATGTCTTCCCGTGTCCTCTTCTTCCTCCTCCTAATGTGCGCTAGCCTCTGGGCAGATGTGGCTGTGGGAATTGGAAAAAGGGAGTGAATTCCTGAGACAGAGCAATGTATCTGTGAACAGAGAACATAGTCTTTCTCTGTGAACAAGACCATGCAGAGCACCTATCACACGCGCACTGAGGACAAGGTCGAATTTTCGGCCCTCGCCTACAGTGCCTACGGTCTTGCTGTGGCGAGCTGAGGAGCAGGGCAGGACACCGGACTTTGTCTAGATGGCAAACATGGTAAGCCGTAGACTTGTGGCCGCTTAAAACTTTAAGAGTGGCACTGGCCTCCTTTCACATAGAAAGCAATGCGAGTCTCTGCTGGCAGCAATCCTGCAAGCATGAACTCTGGCCCTGTCCCAGCCCCTCGCGGCTGTAAACCGCGTGGCTGTAAACCGGCGGTTGCAGTTCTGTAAAGGGACGGGCAAGCAGTCCCAATACTAACTTTCCCCTACCTAATTCACAGCAGGGAGTCATGCCTGACATCACCCTCCTGAAGGTCTCCGAGAGCCAGAAGGAGAAGATGCTCCGGGACAGCCTGCAGAAACCGGGGCCATTTGCTGCACTGCTGTGCAAGGCCATGATCCCGGAGTACCTGCTGGCGTTGTGGCAGGGAAACGTGTCCTACCACGGGGGGCCTAATAAGCTGTCCCTGCCCAGGAACCTGCTGATGAGGCTTGAAAAACACCTGCAGGAGGTGTATGAGGAGTTCTCCCCGGAGGATGTCGCCTCGATCCCCGGTTACATTGACCAGTTCTTGGCTTAGGTGCCCTTGGAGGGACAAATGACTGCAGGGTTTTGGGCACTATAATCATGAAGCGGACATTGTGAGATTTTTTTAAAATGGTTCGGACTATATATTGAGGCGCCCAAAGACGGAGTAATCATGATACACTTTGCACTGATTCCCCTTTTGTTTGACTTTCCTGTTTACATGTTTTTAAGCACTTTACCCACTGTTAATATTTTCAATCTTCCTGTTTTGTTGCAAATAAATGTTTACATGTTTTAAAGCACTTTAGCTACTGTTAATATTTTAAATATGCCAGTTATGTTGTAAATAAATGTTTGGATATTTAAAACACTTACTGCTTGATCCTTCCCCTGAATCTGTGTCTGGGGTAACGGCTGGGGAGGGTTGGTAGGGGATCTCTGTCAGGGTGATGAAGAGCTCCTGGCTGTCGGGCAAATCAGCGTTGTAAGCGCTGTCTACTGCCTCGTCCTCCTCATCTCCTTCCTCCTCTTCCCCGTCCGCTGAGGAACCGGCCGCGGACAATATCCCATCCTCAGAGTCCACGGTCAGGGGTGGGGTAGTGGTGGCGGCCGCACCTAGGATGGAATGCAGTGCCTCGTAGAAACGGGATGTGTGAGGCTGGGATCCGGAGCGTCCGTTTGCCTCTTTGGTCTTCTGGTAGCCTTGTCTCAGCTCCTTGATTTTCACGCGGCACTGCGTTGCATCCCGGCTGTAGCCTCTCTCTGCCATGGCTTTAGAGATCTTCTCATAGATCTTTGCATTCCGTCTTTTGGAGCGCAGCTCGGAAAGCACGGACTCATCTCCCCACACAGCGATGAGATCCAAGACTTCCCGATCCGTCCATGCTGGGGCCCTCTTTCTATTGGATTGCACGGCCATCTCTGCTGGAGAGCTCTGCATCGTTGCCACTGCTGCCACTGCTGCTGAGCTCGCCACGGTGTCCAAACAGAAACTGCGCTTCAAACTGCCCAGACAGGAAAAGGAATTCAAATTTTCCCGGGGTGTGGCTGGTCAGAGCATCCGAGCTCGGACTGCTGTCCAGAGCGTCAACAGAGTGGTGCACTGTGGGATAGCTCCCGGAGCTATTACCGTCGATTTCCATCCACACCTAGCCTAATTCGATATGGCCATTTCGAATTTAGCGCTACTCCTCTCGTTGTGGAGGATTACAGAAATCGATTTAAGGAGGGCTCTATGTCGAACTAAATGGCTTCGTGGTGTGGACGGGTGCAGGGTTAATTCGATATAACGGCGCTAAATTCGACATAAAAGCCTAGTGTAGACCAGGCCTTGCACTGATCACCTTGTAGCATGTGAGACATGCTAGAGAATAGTTTGCCATCTGAACTTTCATTTCTCCTCTGATTCCATTATTAAGAAATATATTCACTTCATATTTATTAAGCTAAGTCAAGTCTTAGTTTTATTTTTAATTTAGACATACATCCTTAGTGGCATATTTAAGTGTTTCATAGTAAAGTACAGTAATGTTAAGTAAGTTTTTTTTTCTTTTCTTATTTTTTCTTTTTCTCTCTGTGAATTGTTTAACTGTGATTAACGATATCTCTTTAGATTTCTTCTCTCTAGGTGATAAATTATCACAGAGGTACAGGCCAGTTCCACAGTCAGAGGAAGGGCGGGCTTTGTCTTTATTGGGGTGTAAACGAAGTTTCAATATATTTGTTTTGTTTTTGTCTTGATAATAGAGTCTTAATCCTCTTGCAACTGATCTGTTCTCCTAAAATAAAAAACACATTCATCCATTCAGTAAATGCTATAGAGCAGCTTGTTTTAAATAGAGGAGGCAGTGGAGACCAAAATAAACACCTGATTAAAACTTGCCTGGAGTTTTGAAACTATATTTTAGAAATTATTGCATCACCTGTACCTTTGAAATATTTATCCCAATCTTGCAATCTCTGAGTAAAAAGGACTAAAACATCACAGCTGGTTTGGATTAATGGCTCCGCTGCTAAAGCTGCACTAAAAAATTAATAGAAGGCTCCCAATCCACTCACAATGTTACAGGGTAAAGCAGAACTTTAAGACATCGTACTCTGGGATGAAAGCCTATGAGTCCATCCATTTGAGGGAGTAGTTGTACCCCACAATTCTCTTTGATTTGTCTAATTTTTAAAAATGACTGAAATCCCTGAGTCCTGTCACTGTCGTAGCTTGTTTCTGTTCTCCATTTCTGTATCCTCTTCATAACATGGCAGCCGCATGTAGTTTCCAAACACGGCCTCCTTAATCCCTCAGAAAATGCTAGAAAAATTTCCTCATAGTTTGTATTCAATGCTGCTGTTTGTACATCCAAGAATATTTTTCTCCTGTTTGGTATTTTGTTATATAAAATGCTATTGAGCTTATACTCTTCTTGTTCTTTTGACTTATCTTAAATTTCTCTGCATTAAATTGCAGAAGCTCACTTATCTGCCAATATTCTTTTCTATCCACATTATTCTGAATTTTGCCTTCCTCCTTTGACTTTAGTGCTCTCTCACTTTCTACAAATCCCTTAGTGCATGTCATTTTATCAAGTGACTGAGAGAGAAAGAAATCAAAATTGGCCCTGTTACTGTCCTCTATGGCAGTCTACTGCTACTTCCTCCATCTCAGACTGCTTACTACAAGAAAACCAGGGGCCAGATCCTCAGGTGATATAAATCATGGTTGCTGTGTTGATTTCTGAGACTCTGGCCCTGGGTCTTCAATACTCAAGTCCAGTCCTTCACTTTACACACAATCCTATCCTTTCCACATCCCATACCTACTCACATTGTTGTGGTCTTTTGTGCAGTGCTTTATCAAGAACTTTTCTAAATTCCAAGTAAAGTAGAAGCATAGCCAACATTACTATTATTGCTTCCTAAAAGAAATAATCTGCTTTGTTTGTCGTGATCTTTGCTTTCATGCTGTTTCATTAACTAAACCAACTACTTTTCAGTAGCTCAGAGGTTCTTACTGTGTGTTCAGTTTCTTCCCTTTAGCTGCAGTCTAGCTTCACTGTTCTCGAGTCCCCCTAGATTTCATCTTATACACAAAATCTGTCTAGTCCATCAGTAAACTTCTGCCTTCAAAAAAGTTAGAGCAAGTCTTCCAATAGCTATATTTATCGTTTTTTACGACATCCTTTTAAAATTTTGTGGCCGTTCCCATCTGCTCTGGAGTTCTGTCATCTGTAATCATTCTCATTTCTTAAATACTCTTTTTATGGTATGGTGTTTGAGTCTTTAAAAAATTGTCTGTTTTCCTGACACATGGCATCTGTCTGCTGTCTTCACCCAGTTTTCTGTGAACAAACTTTAATGGACCATCTCAGTAGTTGGATGGATATCATCTGTTTTTCCCTCATCTTTTGAGGTGGAAGGCTGTAATATTAAACTGATCTAAGACTCAATGTAGACTTTGAATGTGTCCTCTTTCTACTCCAGTGCTGCTGAGAATTCCAGTTAACTTCAGACAAATATATTGATGAAATGCTGCTTTCAGTTTTGAGGCTGCTTTCATCATAGACCAACAAAACTTCGTTTATACTGCCAGTCTCTTGTGTGTGGGAATTGCTAAAAGTTTTTTCCTTTTATTTTAATTTTATTTTAGTGATGTCTTTTGCTCTTGTTGCTGACAGCAGAATTTGACCTGCTGGAATCTATTTTGGCCTGTATCTTTGTGTATTTTATATATAAACCTTCTCTACAATAGGCCTCTTTGGGCTTACCCAACCCAGTTGGATAAGCTTAGAGAGACACTAACTGTTATAGATACTGTATTTCTGTTTAACGCTTTAGAGCAATATATGGCTGCTGTCAGCACTAGCTGCAAAGCAAAATGCAAACCAAGGGGGAAAACTTGGGTTTCAGAAAAGCAGAAATGCACCCATATTCCATATGCTTTTGATGCTGCACCTTGGTTTTTTTTCTTTCTAATTTTACTGCTGTACCCCTTAGCTAATTTAAAGAATGGCAAAACTGTTATATACTGCATGTGTTCTTACCTTTCCTGAGATTTGGTTATTCCACCAGCAGTGAGTGGTTGATGGCATGACTCAGCCTTAATGTTCTGTGAAATTAACCACTACTTTGCCACTCTCTAGGCAGTGTCAGCAGCTACAGCCTAAGCGCAGTGGTTCTCAAACTGTGACTGCAGAGAGTTCTCAGATCACATGGTGCTGGTATCTTCTCCTTTCTGGCTGCTTCTATGGGCATTGGAACCCAGCTGCCTGTAAAAGCAGCTGGATTCTAGGAGGATCCAGTGGGATTGCTGCAATAGATGAGGAGGAAATGAATTACCCTTAGGAACACCAGAGCACCAGTGGTAGAGATGTGCAGGGCAAAAGGCTCCTGGGGAACATATACTGAGATTGAAGAAGAAGGGAACCAGGCAGCAAGGGGAAGGGATAGCAACAGAACAGATTGGGCAGAGATGAATTGACAAGCAAGAGACATGAGTGGTTGGTTTTTGTTTTTAAGGCAACCCTGGTTACTTTAAACAGCTAAATACTTCTCGTTTGCTGTGTAGGCAACTGCTATATTTGGCACAGGAGAGCTATGATTGGAAGGGGTAATGTCCATTAAGTGCTCTCTGTGTTAAGATGTAAGAAGTTTGAGAATCTCTGACCTAGGCTGTTAGTTTCTGAAGCTTATCATTCATCCATGGAGTGGTAAAAATTCTCATGCTTTATCAGCTACATTTCAAAAAAATTTCCTTTAAATTTGTACTGTTTTCCAAGAAAGTAAATACCCCCCACACACATACAATATTTTTTGGGGAGGAGCGGGGGGGATTACTTTGCAGCGTTAGTAACTGTAATAAGTGTAAGTTTTACCTGGGTTCCTAATCCTAGGATATATTTTGGTTCAAGGATGAGAGCAAAGCTGCCTTATTTTAACCTGCTGTTCCACAAACATTGTTTTTAGAAGTTGTGGTACAGTAACATTTAGGGTTGTGGTAGTGTTTATCTCTCCACCCCTTTTAGTGGATGGATTAGATATAAGAAACTAAACATTGATTTAATTGTTTCAGTTTGTAATGTTGCATGTATGAAACTAAGCTGAGGCATTAGTTGCCTGATAATTTATATATAAAGTACACACTACAGTTTTCTCAGAGGACTGATTTTTGAGAACTTCATAACACAAGCCTTGGTTATCTGAAGCCCCTGCTTGAACCCTTGGTCCGCCCCTAATACTGTTCATCATCCTGTTTTGTGTCACAACACCCTGCTACCTTGATTCACTCTTCGTCGTTGGCTAGGTTTTGGATTTATTACTTTCGAGGACGAACAATCAGTGGACCAGGCTGTCAACATGCATTTTCACGACATCATGGGCAAAAAAGTGTGTAGTTGTAGTTTTATTTTACCTTAAGACAAAACCAAGTCTTGGGCAATTGGCAATTTCACTGGTGAAATAGAATCAGTAATTTGTGGTTTAAACAGGGGAGATCCTAAAAAGTTAAAGAAAATCCAAATTCAGGGCTTTGTCCATGATGATGGGGAAAGTCCCTTGAGTTTGCATAAGACAATGGATATGAGGGGAACCTCTCCTTAACTTGCTGCCTATCCCATGGGAAGGAAACAGACCTTGAAGGCCTGAGTATTTATGCAAGTTATTTAAACAGTTCAGATGAGTCCTTGACCATTATACAAATAGCAAACTGCTCCATTTGAGCAGAATTTGTATCTGAATAAATTGACTATATGAATAGTCATGGTTTATGCACTGCTACATGACTGCTCACTATTTTCCTTTTCAGCAGCAGGGATAGAAGTTAGTTTTAATTCTCATATGTTTGTAAATTGAGATCCCAGTGAAATCTCTGAGCTGGCTAAGGCTCGGTTTAACATACCACTCCTTCAGATGTGTATTTCATATTCAAATTTTGAGGCACTTTGAGGGGATCTGCCTTTATAGTCCTAAACTTTAACCCAAAAAAGACCATAAAACATCATGAAGGATTGGTTTTTTAAAAATTGGGTCACTTACTGTGAAACTTTGATACGAACCCACATATTCTATATAGTATTTAACCACAATGCAGTTAAGTGACCTCTGGTTGTTTCATCTTCATACTGTGTTGTCAGCACAAGGAGGTTTGATAGGTGAGGGATTCCGCCTTTCTACTCCTTTTGATTGTATTAATCAACTGTGAACATTAAGATTCACCTATGGAAAATTTAAAAGTAGAATGAATAAGTAGTTCCTGAGAGAATCTTAATTATATTGTGAATATCACAGCTTCTAAAAGGGAAATTCTGGTAAAATCGAAAATATTGCAGCTTTATACAGCTTACCCTGAATTTGAAAACATAGATGTTAGAAGGCTGTTGAAAATCTACATGAAAAGTACCCCAAAGAAACTTGCATCAAAACCAAAGGACTTTGTCATATTCCTTTAACTCAAACATTTTTCCATGTTGAATTCAAAAGATTTCTACAGCCTAGTATCTCTCAGGCATTTCTTTGGCTGACAGGTAATGTGTTCTTGTGGGTTAGTGCAAAATTTGCATTGTTAGATTACAGTGCTCTATACAAAGCGCTTTAAAAAGTCACTGTTAAAAATTATTTAAAGGGTTACTACCCTATTTCGATACACTGAAACTACAGTCACATTGAGAAAAAGAATGGTTTACCAATTAATACAAATGAATTATCTACATGAACACACTTTTGACCCAAACCTTGGAAGGAGGAACATGCGTAACTTTCTTGCTGTGAGTAGTTGAGTAATCTCATTTGAATCAATGCAGCTACTTACATGAGTAAAGTTATATGTGTGTTTTCAGGATTGGAGCATTTATTTACTTGTTATCCTTTATACATCCATTGCTTTTTCACTGATATTACCTTAAACTTTGGAAGAACTACTTAAATTAGAGCACAGATTGCAAGGCAGTATGCCATTTATGAACAGAATCAAGGGATGCCACGGCTACTTTTTTATGGTTCTGTAAATCTGTGGAGAGCCCCCTTGTAAGTCTCTAAAGTGTCATAATCTTTTATGTGATCAGTTCTTGAGGTATTTCAATCAATTGCTACTCACTAATAGTGCCTCTTTAGGTCTCTATTTGCTATACAGTGGTTCCTGAACAGGCTCAGCATCAGAGTTGAAATAATTTTCTGGGATTACTTTAACTATTTCTTGCATGACCTGGTCTAAAACATGCACAAATATATGCAGTATTTTCCCCGGTTGCATGAAAGAAACCTAGGTAGTTCTTCCTCTTTTGAGTGTTTATAACTTTGGCCTTGGGCAGGTCTAGAATTCTCACCTTGATCCTAAAATTTGTTTGCATTAGGTTGTCCCAATCCCTAGTTTAGGAGTCTAACACTTCCAAATGCTGGTTTACAGGTTAATGAAATTCTGCCATTTAGATAAATGTAACATTGGATAGTCCACCCCCTTAATTGATTATTAATAGACGCTTCAAGATTTTGAAATACTTTTCTTTATAATTAAAAATGTATTGCTGAAGTGAATCTGTATCCATATGTTAGTGAAAGTAGAAATTTTAAATTACGAGCAGGACTTTGCTTTTGTAAGCAGTAACCGAATTCCCTTCAGGAAAATGAGTTAAGACTCATTAATTTGAATTCTTTGAGAAATTCCCTTGGTTCCTCTCTAGCAGGGCCTTCAGCTGACAGAGGTTTGGTTACTGTCATGTATAGTGTCCTTGGGGCATCTTCAGAAGAAGGGGAGGAGGAGAGGGAGGCCTTTGTCCTTGTGCTGTGCCAATTTCCTGTTTGTTCTGTAACATGAATGGTTTAAAGACCTAGCAGGAAGAATTCTGAATACTTTATTTTCCATACTACTCAGGCCAATTAGCGATTGAGATTTATTTTCTTTGTACTCTGGCATCCACTAAAATTAATCATAAAATAAAAAAAGACTTTAATTCAGCATACATGAGTGCTGAGTGTTTCATTAAATCAGAAACTGGATTTTTTTGTTGAGGTTTATATTAAATGTGGAGCTTATTTTAAGTAGGTCAGATGCACTTGATGCCTTGGGGCCCTAAGACATTTTATCTTTAAATGAAATAAGTTAAGCACTGAGGATTATTAACACTTTTAAAAACAGGAAGGTTTTTGTCACTGACTTAACACAGTATGAAGATTTGCTTCTTATTGACTCAACTGTCCATTTTTATTACTTGCATGTTTGTTTACTTTTTTGTTAGATGTAATGTAAGATTCTCTTATCACATCCATTCCCTCTGACATTGTTTGAGTTATTGAGATTCTTTAAGCGTTAGCCTGGGGAAGGTAAGTCTTTATCTTCCATTAGACATTTAAATAAAACCTAAGTAAAAAACCAAACAAACGAATGTGTGTTTCTCAGGTATGAACAGAGCTGAAATTGCAGGTAGATGGGGTGGGTTTAAACTATAACTTCCAAATGAAACCCCAATCATCCTTAAATGTTAAAGCATTAGTACCCTTTTTCAGAGTGGACTCTTTGCTTGTGGAAAGATCTTTACTAAAATTGTTTTCTTCTTTGTAAATGTCACAGTGAACATTTAAAAAATAGTCTAAAGACTAAGTTAAAAAGATTGTGCCTATACATGTTTAGCAAAGAGCCATTGTAAGAGGGTACTGCTGCTTTAAGATGAGCAAGCAAATGACTACTTAATATAATGGAACAGCAATTGTTTGTAGGACATGTTTTGCTTTAAATATATGTTGATATAGGACTTGTAATGTCTTACTATCGCATCTATTGTACCTGAGAAACATTTAATTACTGGCCTAACTAGTTTTATAATTAAGTATTTAGACATAAGTCATAAGGTGCTAAGTGTAGTCTTACGTGTAATTAAGGGTGTGTGTGAAGGGAAGGGGGGTGAACTAACCTACATCATCTCCTAAATGGCTAATCTGTTTGTTTAGGTGGAGGTAAAACGTGCAGAACCTCGTGATAGCAAAAGCCAAACCCCAGGGCCACCAGGTGCCAGCCAGTGGGGAAGCCGGATCATGCCAAGTGCTGCCAATGGCTGGGCAGGTCAGCCCCCTCCTACCTGGCAACAAGGATACAGCCCTCAAGGTAAATTTTCTTTGGGGAGGTTTCAGAGAGCCAGAGTCAAAGTGATTCCTGTCTTCCTTAAAACTGGCAGTGTCTGTCACCAGCCATGGTTTTGTTACAGACCACATTTAACTTGCATTATTCTTTCAAAAGGTAACAACATCTCATTAGTGATACAGATACTTCCAAGTGGAGTGAAGCCGTCTATGCACTGACACAGTAGAGAACTAAAGTACTCTGCATCTGTTTTCCCCAATTCTGCCTGGGGTTTTCCTTAGTTTAATTTTTTCAGAATGATTTTTTGTTACATGCTGCAGAAATCAATGGGTCTTGGCAGCACAACTTCTGTTTCCTCAACATCCCCCAACCTGATTAAGTGGGGATCATTACTGTGATTGGTGCTTCATCCATTCTGTTTGTGTGGGGAGCAGGAGTACCAAATCAGCATGTTCTTTTTACCCAGTAGTGGGGAGAAGTCAGGGAGAATTCCATGATTCTGCAGCTGTGGGAATGTGGGTGGCATGGGGCCCTGATTAAAAATATTTATGGAACACAGATTTTCAAAGATGAAATCTGAAATGAGTTTCAAAAGAAACTACGAGTGAAATATGAAGGGAAAACAGGCTATCTTGTGTCTTTGTATTTCATTATTTAGTGTAGTCTGGAAAAGTAACAAGCAGCTCTAGCGTTAGTTGTTAGTGGTAATGCAGGGGAGCACTTAATGCATATAATTTTCTTGATTTAGCTTGAGTCCTTTAGGGCTGGAAGGAGCAGATGCTTGTTTTAGTTTTGAATGCCATAAAAAAAACAACCCAAGATTTTGGACACACAATAAACGTGCTGAATTCATCTAAAGAATGTTTTCATACCATATGAAGAAATGAAGTGGCATAGTTGAGACATCTAACCGAATATATAACCTGCCTTTCTCAGATATGAGAAATTATTACCATGGGGATAGGGGGTGGCGTCACCTTGTCCATTATGCCCCCATAGGATGGCTTACTGTTTCCCCATGGTACTTATTAACTTGAAACTGCACCTGAGGCTTTGACAGTCTGCACAGATTTGCTAATCTGCAAACTCAGATTGAGAAACTAGATCACTTTCATCTTGGTTATTTGTAGGGAAAGGTATCATTATATCAGTCTGTGGGAGGGATTAAATGCAGGACTGTTAAATAAGTTAAACTTTCTACCTTCACACTGCAGCAAATATAAAATGAGGTTCCATGGTTCTAAAACACTTGAAATAGCTGAATGATAACTCTTATCAGCATTATATTTGAAACACCTTGTTTGTATCTATAGCTTCACCTTTGCAATCCTTAGTCTTTTTAAACAAAGTTATGGAATGACTTTTAACGCTAGAATATTCTCTCAGTTTGAACACTGCGTGTAATTTGAGTTTTGAGACTCCTGGACACTTCTTGCATTAGCTCTTTAACCAATGTAGAACACTATTTTTTTCAGAATTGCATTATATGCCATTTTTAATAGAACAGTTTCAATATATAAGTGGATAAACTATCATTCTGTTTCATTGTTTTAGGAATGTGGGTACCAGCTGGACAGGCAATTGGTAAGTAGGTAACAAAAGTTTGATTGTTTAGTATATTGTAAACTGTAGAAAAGGCCAACTGGTAGTGCAGATGTAAATTGCTTTTCAATGAGAATTGATGGTGGCTGTAAATTTCTCAAGTACAGTGCTTCTAAACCAGTTTTAAAACTCAACTTTTGAGTTTGTATTGGAAAAAATATGGGGCAGGGGGAACAGTTCTGTTCTTAACTATTCAGTGTTGGGAATTGGAATACACCCTTTTGCTGATAATGCAATTAAACTGATATTGGCCATCAAGAAATTAAATACGAAGAAGAGAACTGTAGAGCTATTTACAGTCAGGGTTCTCTGAATATTTTCCAAAGTTCGTATCCATAGAGGGGGTAGAGTTTCCGAGAATTTGGTTCCAAGTACAGTAACAACTTCTTTATTCTGTTTGAGGTAATTTTGACTTAATATTAAAAAGTTGCCTTTGCTGAATTTAGATGAAGGCACCACTTGTTCTCACAACTCTGTATTGGATTTTCTAGGTGGGTATGGACCGCCTCCTCCAGGAAGAGGAGCCCCCCCTCCTCCACCACCTTTTACCTCATACATAGTTTCTACGCCTCCTGGAGGATTCCCACCTCCACAAGGGTTTCCACAGGGCTATGGCACCCCTCCACCGTTTAGTAAGTGTCCTCTGTGAGTCTCGAACCAATGATGTGCCATTGAACACAGGAACGGGTTTTAGTCAGTTCTGTTTGTCTTTGTTTCATGCCTTTCTGTGAATTCACTGGAGTCTTTCACATTTGATTCACCTGTGGATCCACTCAAATATTTCTGTTCTGTAACTAGAAATCAGTATATTTTCAGTTCGTTTCTTTGAATCCGTCAATTCTGATCATATTAATAATACTTAGACAAACTGAGAGGTTACGGTATTATTACGTTTTGACTGAGGACTTTTATTTTTGACCTCTCCTTTCTAGAACTGAGGTATTCAAGATAGTAATACTGCATGTTGAAGACTAGAGACACAGGCTCCCTTGAAAATTCTAGCCTAAGTAATTAGGCACCCTGCTCTCATTTGAATTTAAATGGGATTTGGGTACCTAACTCCTTTACGTTCCTTTAAAATTCCTATGCACAATTGGGTTAAAACTGACAGAAAGATACCCTTAATTATACAGAGTTTCTTGCACAGCCATTATGCACCTGTTAGTTCTGATTCTTGTGCTTTGGGGAAGCAGCCTGTCCAGGATTTTTCAGCCTGAGGCTTTTGACAACTTCCTTATTTGGATGGATGAAAGGCTTTTTGGAGGGGTGTCTCACCATGCCTTTCCCTGCTCCCCCAGTACACCTTTCGGTACCTGTGGCTACCTCTTCAGCTATTTTTTGCTAGGTAAGATGGTTCAATTGCTGTTAAGCACATGCAGTCTGTGTAACAGGTATAAGATTTCACATCTCTTAAATGACTTCAGCTGTGGATAGGATGACTGTCAAGAGATGGTTAAATCAATCCCTTTACATCAGCTGCAGGCAACAAGTAGTAATCTCTTTTCTGTAGACACCTTACAAAGGGTTTAGTAACAAAATGTTAAATTACTCTGAAGCCAAGTGAAAAGTCCAAGTGCTTTTGGCCTCGTAACATGTCACAGATTTTATGCTCTGCCTCTTATTTATCAGGTTTTGGATATGGTGCTCCACCTCCTCCACCTGACCAGTTTGCCCCTCCTGGAGTACCCCCTCCACCTGCCACTCCTGGGGCAACACCACTAGCTTTCCCACCGCCACCACCACCATCTCAGGCAACTCAGGACATGAGCAAACCCCCAACTGCTCAGCCAGAATTCCCTTATAGCCAGTTTGGTAAGTAACTGCATATAAAATACACTCAGAGCGGCAACCTTTCCCCTCAGCCCCAAGGTTCTGCTTTCCTTTTATTCATAATGTTTTGGTGAAAAGTCACAGTTTCCAGGAGCAGTGTATTAATGCTGACAGCATTTGTACTAATGGTGGGAATGCCAGCTCTCAAGGGCCCCCAAAACATCCAATACTCTGATATCACAGTATTGTTTCATTCCTACTCTGCCTGAAGTATTGCCCATTTCCTGAATCGCTAAATAACTGGCTCTCTAAAGATCTGTGCAGTGGTGGGATAAGTCACCACTTGCATTCCCCCAAATGCTCAAGTTTAAACCCTTTTTTGTTCAACTAACAATTTCACACTGCAAGGTGCTCAGTAGTTTGCTTCCTTTTCTGTTGAAATGTCTTTGGTTAACACAGTAGCAGCCAAAGGGAATTCTGGTAATCTTACCTCAAGGAAGATGCACTAGAATTGAAGCAAAGCACAGTGAAAAGGGCACTGAAAATCATTGAGTGATGGGGCTTGCCATAAGAGGATGGGCTCAGCATAGAGAATAGTGATACTTAAAAGTAGTATCTAATTATTCTAGAGTAACGGGAATTGACTGAGACAAAAAAATAATAAAGGGTATAGCAAAATCTGACCTGCATGCCCCTTTTGTCCCTGTTTCATGAGACTTGTTGAAATTGATGCAGCTAATTTAAAACAAAAGTGGATACTTACTAGGGAAAACTTTATCAGTCTCTGGAGCTCATTGCTGAAAGTAGGTGATAAAGAATGATTTAGTAGGTTAGCTACAGTAAGATAAAATATGGGAAGTCAAAGTCTCGTGCTACTGGCTGAAAGATGACTATTTGTGGAGATCAGGAAGGAGTTCTTTCATTTTACTCTTGCACCCAAGCCTTCCATGAGCAGTATTGCCCATTTAACTGGGTGGGTGTGCCTTCTTCTTGATCACTGGCCATTGGTAGCCTCTGAAGGCAGCATAATACACAAGGTGAGCCTAGGAATCAAGAATGGCCACTCTGTCCCTGCATTTTAACCACTTTTCCCCTGTGTTTATGCATGCCCTACTAGTCCCATATAAAATACCTGCAGAAGCTGTTCATTACGAAATGTCTGCTTCATAAAGTTCTTTGAATGGATTTTCTGTAGTCCAAAAAATCTGAAGTATAAGACTCCTGATAGGAGGAGATCAGCTTTTCAGTTGTTCTTGACATGCATAAGATGAGGGTGTTAGAGTTATGATGGGTTTAGTTAGAGATGTTCTTAAGCTTGTGTCATAGACACAGTAGCTGGGATCGAAAGTTCCCCCAATTTGACTTCAGGTGGAAGATTTTCTTGTCTTGTTGGAAATGTGCCTCTGTTACATATGAGGGGAAACATTTACTGAATAGAATAAAAACTGATGCATACAAATTTATCTTGTCTCAGACTTGGTAACCAAGTCTTTTAATACCAATAATTAAAATGGATCCAAACAGCAAAGGCATAATTGATTTATATATAAACTTTCCATACAGGGAACTCTGCTCTAAAGTTCCTGTTGCAAGACTTTTATGTAGTAACCTCCAATTATCATTTTAAAAAATTCACCACTCAGTTTAATTGACTGACTTTCAAAACAATGCTGTGAGGGATAGTTGGGGTGTGTGGTGTAAGGAATATGTAGTACCAGCTGCATCTTGTATAAATCTTGGAGACATTTTTTCCTACAGCGAAATGCTGGTTGTAGTTAGTCCTTAGCGGTTAATGGATTTTTTGGGAGGAGGAAGAGGGTTAGATACTGTTGTTAAATGGATTAGTGGGATTAATCTCTCTCACCCCAAAATTCATGCCAGAAAGCAAACTACTTCTGTGCAAGACTGCACTCTCACAGTATATGTACACAGTGATAGAAGTGTTCAACTTAGTGTATCACCACCCAAGTCAATAACCTCTTCATGTTTATAAAGCTATGTTTAAGATCTTTTTAACCTCTTTAAGATCTTTGGAACTTCATATGTCATTTGCAGTTCAGCTAGCAGCATTGGTATACAAAAGGCAGTTAACAAGTTTTTCATGTTTTCACTTAAATGCATAGAGTTTATAGACTTTAAAGAGGCATCAAAGTATTTAATCGTTTTGGCATTTACAGATTCATCCTGGCTTCACAGCATCATAAATGCTGCTATGTTTACAGCTGAGATAAATGTAAACACTCTAGTAAATTAAACTCTAACAAGGGTGTGTCTCCCTCACCCCAAAAAAAAATTATATCTCTGTACAGGGCTGTCTTGGGGTTAGTCACCCTGGTCTCCTCATTTCTTACTAGGGCTGGGTACCTATTCTCAAGACCCTTCAGGCTACGCGCCAATACTTTGTTTACACTCTTATGGTCAGGCTGAGCAGTGATATATCCTAGGTAGGTGGAGCCTATTTACAACCAATGCTCTTACTTTATCTGCATTTGGGAAATTAACTTTTGTTTCTTGCAGGGTCTCTTCTCTTTGAGGGTGGGTGAGATAAGTATGGTGGCTTGGAAATGTTTGCTTTTTACAGTTCAAGGATAATCTACTGTAAATATCTGTTAGTTGGCCTAAGTAAAAACACGTCGTTGGAATATGACTCCGCTGCTGTTCGCTTCCCAAGATATTGCATTGGCAAGACTTAGATTGTCTTGTGTAAGCAAATTGCATTTAGTTACCCTAAGCAACAGAGTCAATATCGCCTGCTACTGTTGACACAACTGACTTAGAAACCAGGTCACTCTGGAGTTGTGAATCAGCTGTGTGTCACTGTTGGAAGTGACAATGCAGACCAATGGTGGGATAGTTCACTGGAGGAAAGAACAGTGCCCCCCCCCCCCCCCCCCCCCCCCCCAAAATGTTGGCTGTTGGTTTGACTGCTGGATTCCTTTGTGGCAAACAAACCAGCAGAGCTCTGGTTTTCTTAACTCTTCACTGAAAGCCATAATGCTGGTGAGAGTAATGTGATTATCTTTACTCCGAACCCCACCACTTGGCATTAAATTAATGCATTTAAGGTTGCCTACTGATCTTTGTGTCAAAAATGGCTGAATTAGCAGCTTGAGAAATCTTCAAACGGGGAAGCCCATGATCAATGCATCGTTGGGTTCATTAGTGGTAGTAAGTCCTGTGAGACAGGCAGAGCTTGAAATTGAAATACCGAGGAGATGCCAAGAGACTGTTGCTTTGGATTAGCAGAGTTAAACCTGCTTTAACCCTGTGCAGAAAAAATGTGAGTCACAGAGATCTACTGAGTAATTCTAGGATTCTTAACAAGGCTGTCTTGCATAGTGGAATTTCACGTTGATGCCATTGTAATGACTGACAGTTGTATTTTAATCACTAGAAATATTCTGTTAGATTTCTTAACTTCTTTTAGTAAGTTACTATTAATACACATCCATTTGCCTTCCAGGAATTTAGTTTTTTCCTCCAAATTGAAAGGCTGTCTCTCTGTCTCCTCTGTCATCCTGCTTACTCTAAACCTGTTGCTCCAAAATCTCTTACCTCAGCTCCAGATTATGTCGTAGAATGGAGGTTACAATCTCATTGACAAGGCAGGAGGACGATGTGGTAGGAGGTAAAAGTCTCCTGATTCCGTAGTTACCTTTATGATCTCGTCAGGGAAAGGGAGCGAGTTGTTACCCTGTCAGAAAGATACTGATTTACAGAATAAATGAGCATAAAGTTCACAGAGGGACAGCTCACTTTTAGATTTAAAATGAGTAAGTCTGGTGAAACAGTTTAGACTAACTCAGTGGTTGTGTTAGTATGAATAGCAAAGGTACACAGAAGGGATGGCTATTCCAATATAACTATTTATCTGTTGCTTCAGTGTTTTTGCTACATTTTGAAATATAGTCTGCCTGCTTAAGTTATGCGGGAAGCTGATGATAAAATAGCTTTTGCCGTTCTTTTGAGCTACCTTTGAGAAGAAACTTGCCACACCATTTGCTCATTTCAGCTGGTTCTGTGCAGCGAGTTAACGCCGGGGTAGGGTGTTGGATTTGGATGGCAATTAGCTGAAGTTCCCTTTTTAACCACATAATGGGGGCAATAACAGCAATAACAAAGCTTCCTGATTCTGGACTGTGGATTTGACGGAAGTTTATGGGAGTCCAGTCACCACAGCCTTTGACAGGGACACTGTCAACTTGGGTTTTTTAATTGACAATTTCAGAAAATTCCAGTTTCTGATGCAACCATCATCTTAAAAAAAATACATGCAGGGCCTAGTATTTAAAACTCCTTTTTAAAACAATTTCCTAGGGTTATCTTATAGGGGTCTTTTCAGCAAAGGAAAACTTGACCATACACAGGAAACTAAAATTGGCTGTACACAAAATAAACCGAAAATCACAAACTTTCACTAACTCCTTTCGGTTACAAACATCAACTATAGTAACTGTCAAATTTTCAGACAGATGTTTCCCCATTAATCTTCTCTACCTCTGCTGAAACTGACAGAATGCTAGTTTTGCTAATATGAACACTTATCCATTATGGACTAATAGATACTACCAACCCACTTTACATAAGCCTCTGAACAGCAGTAGCATGACATTTTGGTCACCACCAGCCTGGGTAAGATTTGATATAGAGTGAAAAGCACTATCTCCAATTAGGCATTCAGTCCCCTCTCCTCTCTGCCTTTTATCAGTTCCTGTATTTTCTACATGTAAATCCAAATAACTTGGTCAAATGTCAAAGCAACTATCATCTGGCTATTAGATCAGCACATCATTGTGTGTTCATAAGGCTGTGCATTGGTGTGCGTGGCATCAGTTTTGAAATGGTGCTGCGCCTCTACCTTACTGCAGCCTTTTCCTCTTCTTCCCAGGTTATGGACAAGACTTGAGCGGTTTTGGACAAGGTTTCTCCGACCCCAGCCAGCAGCCCCCCTCCTATGGAGGCCCCTCGGTGCCACCATCAAGTGGCCCACCTGCAGGAGGAAGTGGTTTTGGACGAGGACAGAACCATAATGTGCAAGGATTTCACCCCTACAGACGCTAGCACATGCAGGGAATCCTGTCCACAGTGGGATATCTGGTAGCAGCTGAACCCGGGAATCCCAGACTTCTGAACTTGTGACAATCACATACTTGATGGAAGAAAAATCTAACAACATTGGGGGAGGGGAATGGGAGGGGGGGATGGCTTTTGAAGGCAACGCTGTGGGTGTTTGGACTGCAGGTTTTAAATATATTCCTTTCTCTAACCCATCAGCACAAATAAAGAAAATGTCACTGGTTCAAACTACAGGGTTTTAAAAATGTCTTCAGCTTTAATTCAAAACTTCAGGTTTCTTTTTTTGAAATTATTTTTCCTGAGCCTTTGTTTTACCGTATATTGTAAACTTTTATGTTTAAAGAAAAATATATACATTTACAGATTGTGAAATTTTTAAGAGAAATTTTCTACTATGTATGCTGGCTTATTTTTTAATTTAAAACAGGGTTTCCGTTAGCAATGTTGGAAGTGATGGTCCGTTTCAACCCCTTTACTTCTAACATAATGGTGGGGCAGTTGGTCCAGAAACTCTGGGAGTTAAAAGAAGAAATCTACTGAGTGTATTTTGCTTTTGTTACCTGACAGTATAGAACTGGTAACAATGCAGGTGCAGACTTGTTGATGCACAGTGTCACTTATGAAGTACAGCATTTAGATCTGTGCTTCAAACTCTTTAAAATCCTCTGTGGATTTCATTAGGGGTTAACGGAGGCCTTGTTAAGATGTAGATTTCCCTCAGGCAAAAGGTTTAGGTGCATTTTGCACTAACCAGTGATTACCCCTGGTTTGAATAAAGAGAAGTACATTTGGATTAGAAACATAAGCCTGTCTCCATTTTTTTTTCCTTACAAATTTTTCCATGTGAATTTGGGTTCTCATGAAAGTTGCCAGATTGACAGCCCTGGAAAAGAAGTCCTTGTGGGTAGAGCGTCAGTGCACACTTACCCACACTTTTTGCCCTGTGCCTCAACCAGGACCTTTAGGTACTGCCTAGAAGTGAAAGCATAATGCACTCTTCATGCCCTTTCAGCCCTTAATGCAAGTGATATGATTGGGCTGATGTAGGATTTGGACTGAGACCATTAAATTCATTTCATAGGCTACTGAAGAACCTCAGTAGCTTTAGGTCCGCACCAGCCTGATCTGGATTTGAACTGGTAATCTACAGGTGAAAGACTCAATGTACCATTATGAGTCTCCAAAACCCTCTTCTGTCTCTTACATGTGCATGACTATAAGCAGGAATTGATGCATTACGGTGCATTAGCATGTTAAATCAGTGATATGCTTTAGTCTAGAATTAAAGGTGGGTTAAATTTCAAGATTATCAGGCTGCAAAGTAATCTTAAGTCCTAAATGTAATGTGTAAACATATACAAGCTCTTAATTTAAGAGGTGAGATCAAAGTACATAAATGTCTAATGGAAGAATATATCCATCTCGAAGAGGGTGGGACCAACTCCTCTGAGATTTCGAGGTCCTTTTGATATAAAAGCAGTGGCAATATATATATTGCACTGTTCTCTGGGATATCCTTTTAATTTCTCATGTGTCCTCGTACAAGTCCAGGTAGTGTTACCTCCCCATATCAAGGATCTGATCTATGAAAAAAATCCTCCACTGCATAATTCCTCTGGAATCAGCTTTGTGCTGGTTTGAGCAGTGATAGTGGATTAAACTCCAATTGTTTGCAAACTGGTATGTGAGCTAGCTGCTTTGTTCAAGAAAGTGCTTCGGGGAAGGTCATAGGGAGCTAATGAACTGTGGTGTCGCCTTCACAGAGCTGGGTTCATATATGGTTCAGAATGCAAACTAAACTAGTTTGAACTTGTAGGCTTGCGTGACACTTCATCAACACATCCAGAATTTACCACAAATCTACACCTACAGAAGCCACTCCCACTATGCCCAGATCTTCCCCAAACCCATTCATTGGCTTCCCCTGAACCTCTGTGTCACAATTAAGCTCCTTGTTCTTACCTTCAAAGCCCTGCATAACTTGGCTTCTGCCTACCTCTCTGCAAGTAACTAAACCCCGATCTTGCTTTTCTTTCTTCCATGCAGCCTCCTGTTCTGAGGTGCTCCCTCCAGCCTGAATTTTCAATGCCTCTGCTAAGTCCTGTAAACACTTCATTTGGCCTGTAAACCTTAGTGTTAAAACAGAGAACTAACTTTGCAGCACCAGCTCTGCTCTGTTGCTTCTTGATGTCCTTCAACCTTCCATCTTTCGTCTGCTGATTGTGTAGGTTGCAAGCCGGGGCTGGGTCCCTTGTCTTTGCATGTCTGGTTCCAACCTGCTTTTAGCGTTGTCATTGTATAGCACAGTAATTTGTACTGCAGAGACAACTGGCACATCTGGGGAAGGCTATGGGTCAGAATTTTAGAGACTGGATGAATTAGTTGCAAGCTTCTGAACACAAGAGAATGTAGTTCTATTAATGCTGGAAAATTTCACTTGCAGCGTTTCACATCTCTGCTGCTACCTGCTGTGTGAGAGTTATGCTTGTAATCTCAGTACAAATATAACAAACTGTGACACTTCTATAGGGAGGAGACAATTCAAGTCAATCAAACTAAGGCCCTTATGTGTGTGTGTGTCTGTATGTCATTTGGATGCTAGCAGTACCCTCTGATCCCATCTTTAAATGTCACTGGACCATAACTCAACTTGACCATAACTGAAAAAAAAAAAAAAAAAAAATGAAGCTAAATTCTACATTGTCTTTGCATTGCTTAAACACTCAGCCTTTCTCCTCCTTGCACCCAACCACTGCTTCTTGTTCTCCATCCTCAATTGTTCACCTCTGATACTCCTAGGCTCTGCATCAAGAGTCCACTAGCTTCTGCTGACTCCAGGCCTGGTGCTTAGTTGAGCGTTGATAACTCTGGGGTAGAACTAGCTTTTTTTTTTTTTTTTTAATGGGTGAAGCAAGCAGAAAAATGCTAAAATGGGATTTTAAATGGTAGGCTAGATGCACAGTGAAAACAGACTATCCTAGTTGAATAGATGAACAATGCATAGGGAGGTTAACTCCGATTTCTGCCCTCTCCAGAGAAGAATGGTGGCTGTAGTCCCCTCTGCACCTCTTCCTGAGCCCCCAGTTTTGCAAAAGGAAAAACTGGAGTGACCATGTGAAGCAGGTTCCTGTGCAATTTCTGGCTGTTCTTGGAGCTGGTAAATTAGTTTCTATAGTGGATTAATTTACACTGATTCTCAGTGCTAAAGCATGGGGGTCTCTGAATGTTAAACAGCTTGTGTCCGTATTGTCCAATCACTGTTAAATGGGGAGTGAAAGCAGATCTTGCAGTGGCACTGTGCTCCTGTTGTGTTAGTGTCACAAATGCCACCTCAGCAGCATGGCAGGCACTGGCAGAAGATGAACCGCAAAGCTTAAAGCAAAAACTGCATTATGGCCAGCAATCTGCTCGCTTTCCACTGCCAGCCTACGGTGGGGAGATAGGGCAGAAGTAGCCCTTTAGTTTTTTTAAATTGAAAAGTTTGAATTTAAAACTATGCTGAAAGAACAGGAGTACTTGTGGCACCTTGGAGACTAACAGGAGTACTTGTGGCTGTAGCCCACAAAAGCTTATGCTCAAATAAATTTGTTAGTCTCTAAGGTGCCACAAGTACTCCTGTTCTTTTTGCGGATACAGACTAACATGGCTGCGACTCTGAAAACTATGCTGAATGCATCTCTAATGACCCAGTTATTCAAGTATTCTGTGAACGTAGACCTATTTGTTAGCTCACCTGGTCATCTATAAAAAAACACTCAAGAGACCTACATTTTCCAGAGTGACTAGTGATTTTGGGTGTCCAATTTGAGATCCTTTACATGGGCATGATATTTCAGAGCGGTGGCTCTCAGTCTTTAAAATCTTGGCTATTACTTGCAGTGAACAAGACTCTTCCTTCCCTATGTTCACTCCTACAATGACTGGAGTTTAGTAAAAATGTCATGGGTCTCGATTCACTGTTAGCCTGGTCCTTGCGCAGGAAAATATTTCCAAATCAGAATGGAAGGATTTTACATTTGGTCATTTAAACCAAAGCAAAGAGTGTAAAATCCTAGGCGTCTGACTTGGAAGCATTGTACTCTCCTGTTGCATTGGGGTAACTGACTGCAACAAGGGGCAGGATAATGGAGAAGATCTTAACTCTTCTTTATTTATGCTTTTCATCTTGTATTTTGTGCAGCTTGGAGATGCAAGCTTGACTGGATGCATTTCTAAACCAGGTTTACTTTCCAGTTCTCCTGCACTTCAGCTGTTTGGAATTGCAACACGGCAAGGGAATGTTTTAAATGGTTGGACAGGTTTTGTTTAATAAACCATTAAATCTGTTTGAAGTGCAGCTCTGCCCAGCAACAGAAACTGAATCAACCTGTGCTAAGAGCTGAGCCAGCATTTGTCTGCCACACCTTGGCCTAATGCTTCTGTGGGAATCCTCTCACAAAGCACAGCAGGCTGGAGGCTCTCCAAATTCTGTGAGCAAGAGCGAGAAATGCCCCAATGATAGTATTGGAGGAACAGTTCTATTAAGAAATCTGATCTTGGGAATGTCTTCACTGCACTTAACTCAGGTGTTTGGCAGTTGGGTCTAGACTAGTACAAAGCCCTATCCGACTTCTGGGGGCATATCCCATAGTTCTTTGTGCTGCTGCAGCAGTAAACCAAGATGCTTTGTGATTTTTTTTCCCAGTGAATGGGGGTGGAGGGCAGGAGGGGACACTTGTCTGTTCTGGGCACAGGGAGGGAATTGTGGGAAGGCATTGGGGGACTATCAGTACTTGAGTGATTTGGCCTCATCCAAACTAAAAGTGGGTGAGGACCAGTGTGAGTGAAAGCAGCACCCAAGTTCCAGTCCATGTCGCCAGCTAGCCTGGGTTCAGAGCACCACCAAACTCAGCTGAGAGGGTGTTGTGTGTGGATGGGAGAGGGCTTAGGGGCAACACCTGAGTAAGAACCCAGGTTAACTCTGCCTTGAAGACCTACCTCGTGAGAGACAAATTCTCTGCTCCCTCCTAGATGAGTTGAAAAAGGATGGACAGTTTTATGGTGCCACCCACTGGGAAGCAAGGAGGCAGCAGTTCTGAAACCCATATAAATCTCAGCCATGTTGCCTCCCTTAGGTTTTCTTTGCCTCCTTATCTTGGAAGCACAGAGGCATTGCCTCATCTTTCCTGCTCTCTCCCTCCATCTGGACTAAGGAAGGAATAGGAGAGAAGCCAGAGACCTGAGATTTCTGCTTCAGCCCAGGGGAGTGGATAGAAAGCAGAGCTCCTAGCTCTGAAGTGGAGCATCCTTCATAGTGGTCTCAGCTGGGGCCAGCCATTTAATCAGACATGATTCCCACCTGGAAATGGCCGAGTGGTCTCTCCTACTTCTGAAAGGTGGCTACTTGCGTACCTGGGACTAGCACCCTGCCTAAGCGTTCTGCTTTGCTTCACAGCCTACTCAGCTCTACAGAAGCTTCTCTGCCTCCACCTGGACCTGATGTCTTGTTCTGGTAAGTCCTGCACTGGTGGGGATTTCTTTTGCCTTGCCCTTTCTCAGCGGGGATTCCCCTCAACCATCTGCTCCTCACCTCCTGCTTTTGCTCCAACTTCTGCAGCCTTCCTGGAATTCCATCCGCCCCTTCCCACCCTGCCCAGGCATCTGTATGGTTGGAGTGTAGAGCCGAAGGACTCAAAATCACCTAACAGCCTTGCTCCTAGCCCCTGGCATAGGGGGCAGATTGTCGGCATAGCCAGAGTACTGTGATTGACTATTTGCTGCTTCCTAGGACCTAGAGGGAGAGATGAAAAGCAGCATAAATTAGAGCAGCCCTGAGGCTGCTCTAACTTACACCAAGGGGAGCAAGCAGGGCCTCCATGTACTCAGAATATGGGGAGACCACAGGTGACATAGTCCCTCTTCCCTTCCTATCCCCAAGCACAGGAATAGAGTAACTGAGAATTGGTCCCACTGTGCTATGTTAGATCGCTCACGTTTTATTGAGCCACTGTCATTTGAAATGAAACTATCAAATCTCCTTTCTGTAATTTTCTTTTTTATCTTAAAATTAATTTGGTTAATAAAGCTCACAAGGACTCAAATCTATATTCTAGCCAAACAACTAGAATCCAGCAGGGAGTGACTTTTTTCCTGTGAGAAATGATGATGAAAATGGAGGGGAACCGTTTTTATTTTTCTCAAAAACTTTCAGCTTTTCTTTGAACAAACAAATTGGAACCTGAACAATTTTCAGTTTTAAACTATTTTTTTCCCTCTAAAAATTTCATTATGACAGAAATGGAATCTTTCCCATGAACATTTCCATTTACCCAATAAGGCATTTTTCTGTTAAAAAAATGCTTTTTAATAGAAATTTTTCGATCAGCTCCTAACCCAAGCCTCCAGTGAACTTATGCAAAGCATGGGCCGGGGAAATGGTTTATAGAAACTGCTTAACCAATAGCTATTTCCATACTATTTTTGCCCTCATTCTCACAGTTAACTTTATCAGTCAGGTTTTACAACACCCAAAAAGGGTTGGTTCCTGATCTCAGTCCCATGTTATTGGACATCTCCCCACCTCCTTCCCAAGTTGATGGGGAGAGGTTCCAATATTTGTTTCTGGTGTGGGCACATGTCTGATCTAGAGTATCTTCTGTGTCACAGGACCACTGAATTGCAGCCATCTGTGGGGTGGGTGAAAGGTGACAGCCAGGACTGGCCTACAGTCCAGGGGAGTCTCCTAAAACCTTGGGAAATGCCTACTTTGAAACCCACTTCCAGCAAAAAGCCCTTGAGGTATGGGCCAGGATTTGTGGGGGCTTAGGGCCGGCCCAGGTGGGTGAATACTTGGCAGGTAGCAGCCACCTCGGGAGTGATGGATTGTAGGTGGGACGTGAAGAACCAGCACACAGCCCCTACCTCCAGGGAGTAGACAGACCGCAGACTTCTCTAGGATGTTTGCTTGGATTGAGGAGAGGGGTCAAACATCCCTAGCATGGAATAGTGGCTGGTGGGGCATCAACTTCTGGGGCAGAAGCCAGGCAGCGGCCAGGGGGAACTAGGAGATTTGTTTCTACCCTCTGTGGTAAGTCGAGCTGGATAAGGACCTGCGTGTGGGTGGGGGATGCCACAGGGGCCTGGGTGTGTACCCAGAGTAGGTGCCCAGGGTAGCCACCTTAGGAAGTAGCCTGTACCAGGTGGGGGCTGTGTTCAGCTGGGGCTAGTCTGGAGCAGGGTGGGGGAATAAGTAGGGTTGCCAACAGTCCCTTTATTACTTCATCTCTCTACTGAGCGCTGCAAGCAAATCCCCCATGCACAGGTAGCTGAGTACTGGTTGTGATTAGTATTAACAAACAATATTAGGTGGAAGAGTGGGGTGGGGGTGCTGAGAAAACAGCCCCCAGTGTTGCCAACCTTAGGGATAAGTGTGGGATTGGGGAGTGGGGGTGGCAGAGGAGATGGGGGCCAGCGCGGATGAGACTTTAGGGTATGTCTGGGGTAGGGAGGTGCCCTAGAAATGGATAGGTGAGCCCTGTAGCTGCTGGCACCCCACGTGCTGCGCCAGCAGGGATGAGGAAGACTAACATCGCTTCCCTCCTCTCCCCGCCCACTTTCCTTTTTTTTTTTTTTTTTTTTTTTAGCGGCGGCCCCTTTAAATCTCAGTGAGGGCGGAACGGCTGCGCTGAAGCCGTAGTGGGCGGGGCCTGCCCCTTGCCCTGCTCTCGCGATATCAGGCGCCGCCCGGACGAGATCAGCCCTTTCCGAAGAGACGCGGCCAAGATGGTGGGTGATAGTGGCGTGGGCCGGAGCCCGTAATCCGGCTCCATCCGCTTCGGGGCCGGCTCGGCCGGGGCTCCGGGTGCCGATACCCCCGGAGGGCTCTGCCCCCTGCACGCCTGGGGCTGTATGGGGGGGGAACGGGCCTGGGCCTGGGCCTGGCTGAGCTGCTGCAGCCCGGTTCGGGCCCTGGCTGGGGCGTGGAGTCACCCGTCTTCTCCGGGGCTGGGGCCCGAGCGGAGTGGGAGGGGGCCTTGTGGGGGGAGGGGGCCCGGGGGAGGAGTGGGGGGGGGGCGGGGGGGGGGGGGGGGGCAGGGATTGTGAGGGGGCAGTTGGGGTGTGAGTGTTGTGCATGTGTCTTGGGGGGCTCTTGGCGGTGCTGCGGGTGTGTGCAGTGTAGGTAGGTGGGGTTGTGTTTTGTAGGCGATGTCTGTGACTCTTGGGGGTTCTGTGTTGAGGGAGCGTTGTGTCTTGGGGGGTGGGGGGGGGGAGAGGAAAGTTGTGAGATTGTCCATGTACAATGTGTGGAGCTGGGCTCATGGAGCATTGTGGGCCTGAGCGTGTGTAACGTGTGCCGTGGCAGGACGGGGCACCCAGGGAGTTGTCTGGAGACTGGGTGCCAATGCCGCATGTGGGGGTGCTGTGTAATATTGTGTGCCTGTTAAATGTGGGGTGCTTGCTGGTGGAGGCTGATGGAACTCGTGGGCCACTCTGGGGAGCTGTTGGAGGGCTGGGCATGGTGCTGAAGGTGGGTTTGTGGGGGGCTGTGAAGCTTATGGGCTGGGAGCATGCTGAGCAGGGTTGGTTTATGTACGTTGTGCTCCTCCAGGCGAAACTGGCTCCAGATATGTCCAGTAACCAACCTCTTGTAAATATGGATGTGCCCAGTTAAGCCATGGGAATGCTTCACCCTTGGAGGGGGTGTTTCATTAGGTCTGTGTGCTCCAAAGTGGAAGGAGCATTAATATTTATCGAACAGTGAATCATTACGAATAATACACAGCGTTTATATTCTATTTATATTCTTTAGCGCACTTTTACAGAGACTAATGAACTACCACGCATGTGCTCCTCTTCCCCTGGTAACACCTAAACGTGGGCAATAACTGGGCTGGTAAACACATGGGAGCAGGGCAGCAAAGGTATCTGGCAAAACGTCACGCCTGCTTGGATGTCTTTGTAATTTGGAGGCCTCATCTGTTTTCCCTCTGATTCTCTCAATCCAGGCGGAAGTCGAACAGAAGAAGAAACGTACCTTTAGGAAATTCACCTACAGAGGTGTCGATCTGGATCAGCTCCTCGATATGTCCTAGTAAGTAATTCTTGCTTATTGGCACCCTTCTCCCCCGTTATCAAACCAAGCAATGAGGTTATGTTAAGAGATGAAGGCAGGTCTTGTGGCCAGAGACCATGACTGGAAATCAAGATCTCTACATTCTGTGCAACAGGTCTGTAGGCCCTGTCTTCACTGCAGAAGTAGCCAGGTTCAAACAGGATTGTGAAGTAGTTTGGGGCCAAGTGTATTATATGACTTTTATTTTCTCATCTCCTAGCAATGACAGTGGACCATATTCTGAACCAAGTGTTCATTGGGATTAAGCTGTGGTTCCTTAATTTGGATAGAACAGTTTTTTTCCTATCCGCTCAGGCAAAAATCTTATAACAAGACCAGACCTTCTGTTTAGTTTCCCCATCTATAAAATAACGACACTATCAATCTTCCTCCTGGAGACTTAATTTAGGGTAAATGCATTAATATGGGTAATGTGACCTGGAATCTTTGAGTACAAAGGGCTATAGAAAAGCAACGTTTTGTTGTCCGCTATTTTACTTGCGTGTTCTGATAGAAGTAATTTGCCATATTCATTCGTATCGCTTAGTCCAAATTAAGGATACCAGAGTGTGGGAGGAGGGGTGGTGTCAAACGGGGGTCACTCCTCCAGCATTCCATGGGCCCAGAACTGTGCAGGGGAGAGCCCCTAACTCTGAGGGCGCTAGGACCCAGGTGGGGTGCAGCTGCAGAGAGGAGCCCTAGATTCCAGCTTGCAGGAAGGGGAATTTCCAGAGCAGGGACCTCTGGCCATTCAGAAAACTTTCTACAGTTTGTCTGGATGTGGCATCGATTGGCTGTTTGCTCCATCTCTCAATCTCTTCGCCTCAGCTTTGCTCCATGCCTGCCCCCGCCCCCCTCATCCACTTCCCTTCCTCTCTTTCTATTTAGTTAACCCCCTTCTAAGTAAACCCACCCTCCAAAAGTTGTCACACATTGTTCACTCTGCTTGTGGCCTTCCTTGATGTCATGGCTGACTGTCTTTGGGGCAAGGACCATCTACTGCTGTGTTTGTACAGCTCCTAGCCCAATCCTTGGTTGACCGTTAAGCAGTACCACAGCGAACGTCATTAATAATTGATACATGGCTCTGCATCTCATTGGAATGTCCTCAGCAGTACTGGACTACGGATTTGCTCACTCCTGAATCTTTCCCAACTGTGAACAAATGATAATTCCATCCTCCCACAGCTGGCAATAGAACCCAGGAGTCCTGGCGCCAGGTCCGTTTCTGGTGTTTTGCTCCTTTCCTCACTGAATCTAAATGTTACATATGAGCTGACTCTTGTTTAGAGTCATAGAATCTCAGGGTTGGAAGCGACCTCGGGAGGTCATCTAGTCCAACCCCCTGCTCAAAGCAGGACCAATCCCCAAATCCCTAAATGGCCCTCTCAAGGATTGAACTCACAACCCTGGGTTTAGCAGGCCAATGCTCAAACCACTGAGCTATCCCTCCCGCCCCCCAGCTGATCTAGTCCTCTTCCTTATTTCAGCGAGCAGCTGATGCAGCTCTACAGTGCTCGCCAGCGTAGGCGTCTGAACCGCGGCCTGCGTCGTAAGCAGCATTCCCTCCTGAAGCGCCTTCGCAAGGCCAAGAAGGAGGCCCCTCCCATGGAGAAGCCAGAGGTAGTCAAAACTCACCTGCGCGACATGATCATCCTCCCCGAGATGGTGGGCAGCATGGTCGGCGTATACAACGGCAAAACCTTCAACCAGGTGGAAATCAAGGTGAGCTATGCAGGAGCGAAAGGTTTAAATACTGCCTGATAGCAGCAGAAACGTACCAGCATCCTGCTTGCTTAGGCCCCGTCTCCGCTCCTGAATTTTCCTGTAATGGATCGATTCTGAAAGTGTAAGCCATTTGCCCTTTAATTTGCCTGAACTTCTGTTCCAGTTGGAGCTTGGCCAGTTCTGTCTCTTGGAGGAGAGTCTCTGTATATGAGGCTTTAACTCCTATGAAAGGCAGGCTGTTGTGGGAGCTTTTTGTTTAAAACAAACAAACAAAAGCACCCCAAAACTTTGTCATGAAATCATTCTCTATTTTCCTTTGAGAAGGTGGTGTCTGACTTCGGGGAATGTGCTACATACAAGGCTTTTTCTCCTTAGCTTGTTAAGACCTAGACTGAAGCTTTGCAAGAAGTTGCTTGCCCGCCTGGTAATTCAGTGAATGAATCAGTTGTGTATCGTGCTGCTGTGTATGAGAGAAGTAATCGGGGGAAGGGTCTGCCTGGAGTTAAGAACATGTTGCTTCTTGCAATGTAGACAGACCCTCTGGGGCAGTCCTGTATTCCCTCACCCCTACACTCACCTGCCTGGTGGTGACCGAGCAGGGGCTCCATTACAGAGCCACAGAATGTCTTGGCTGTAGCGAGAAATCCGACTTGCAGATCTAACGGGAAATGAAGTAGCCAGCAGGTGCGGTGTGGCGTGATCTGATATTACAAGGAAGGATTAAACAACTGACCAACATTTTCTTTGCCTGCTTTGTTTGTGGTTGAAATCTAACCTGAAAGCCTGTTGAAGGGCTTAAGGTAGATCAACCTGTTTGGGCTCTCTGGTTGGAGGAATGTTTTGAGTTGGACACGTGGGGGTGATTTTTTTTAAAGGCACAGGTGCAGTTAGACATGAAATGGGAGTTAGACACCTGGGATACTAAATCATAACTGGAAAAAGCAACAAAGAGTCCTGTGGCACCTTAAAGACTAACAGATGTATTGGAGCATAAGCTTTCGTGGGTGAATGCCCACTTCGTCAGACACATGTAAATCATAACTGCCACTTGTGCCTTTCAACATCTCCTTTGGCTGTCTATCAATGTGGATTGCTGTAGCTAATTACAGTGGCCTAAGCAGAGCCGAAGCCACGTTTACGCTAGGAGTTCCTTAGCACTGTAGTTATATTGGTAAGTGCTCCTAGCATGGACGCAGCTAATGCCCACAAAACTGTGCTTTTACTGATAGTTTAGCCCACCCCAAGCAAAACAAGCTTTGCTGGTATAAGTGCATCTGCATTAGGGCGATCTGTCCGGGATCGCACCTTTTCACACCCGACAGACACCGCTGTGTCAGCAGTAGTCTGTAGTGTAGACAGAGTCTTATCTGCCAGAGAGGTGGGAGTGCTGTCCAGGGAGGGGGCAGGAGGGTCGTTTTTGAATGTGATAAGGAAGAGGAGGATCTGCAGGTGTGACTAGAGCTGGCTGAATACCGAAAGAAAAAATTCACTCTGGTGTTTGACCCCATGTATTCGATTTCTGTCAGTCACTGAGATTTGTGAATGTGTGTGACACACACACACACGCACACAACCTGTCTCTACAGCATTGTTGCTGGGAGCAGGAGCAATGCTGTGCCACTTGGTGCCCAGTCACAGGGAAGTGGCAAGGTATGACTTGTGCTTGCTCAAAACAATAGTAGCAGTGAACCCTGGAGCAGTCTGAAGGCTGAAACACTTACATTCTTGTTCAGTGAAAGATTAATCAGTCTGCCTGGATAATTTGGGAACAGAAAGAGGGTTACATTAATTCAATTGGCTGCAAATGGCATGCCCATCTCGACCTGTACCAAGCACCTGATAGAAGCGTTTGGAGGTACTGCATTTTTAAAGAATAGTTCTAAACAATTATCCCAGAGCTCTGTGTCATGACATCCAGCTTGTCTTCGGATGCTCTTCAAGGTCTTTGCAGGGTACTTTCCCGTTTTAGGCTTTCAGCTGCTTGTCACGTCAGATCAATCCTGTTTCTGAATAGTCACCCTGTCTTTTCTCTTGCAGCCCGAGATGATTGGCCACTACCTGGGCGAGTTTTCCATCACTTACAAGCCAGTGAAACATGGCAGACCTGGTATCGGTGCCACCCACTCATCTAGGTTCATTCCTCTGAAGTAAATGATGCTTCGGGAAAATGTTTTCTATATGTAAATAAAGAAAATGCTCCTGCCTGACACTGTCTCTGGTGTCTCTCTGGGTAGGGTCTTGAGAATTTCCCGTCCATTTGGGCTGAGCCTTCTGAAGCTAAATGCCACTAGGAGCTTGTGTGTAGGCCCGGGGGTCCTGTAGAGAATCTGGGTCCATGTGTCTGCATAAGCTCACTGAAAACGCTTTGTGTTGTGCAAATGGGGACAAGTCAGGTGGAGTATCCCTTCCTGACGCTGCAAGGGATACTCCGCCTGTCTTGTCCCCAGTTGCACAGCTTGTTGATGAGTTGGTCTAGGAATGTCCTCTCTAATGGCGGGTGGGAGAGGGACTGGGCTTGTGCCCTAATAAGCCGGTTTGCGGCTCTGATAAGAATTTTTCAATGTTTCTTCTTTTTATTTTTCACGCGAGAAATTCTGACGCAGTCTAGCCCGGGGAGCCTGACTTGAAGATTGGTGAAATGACATCACAACTGCTAAATGTGGGGGAGGATGGCTTACGCAGACTGTTCTAGAACTTACTGATTCCAGTCACTAGCCATTTGGAGTAGTGATGTCCCCGATAAAGATTCGAGACCCGCTCTTCAATGAAGGGATGAGAGCTCATTATAAACAACTAGGTTGACCAGATGTCCTGATTTTTGGGTCTTTTTCTTATATAGGCTCCTATTTCTTCCCCCACCACCACCACCACACACACACACACACACCCCTGTCCCGATTTTTCACATTTGCTGTCTGGTCATCCTGTAAACAACCCATATCCTCCTGCAAGACTAGAATCAACAGTCTTGGTACTTAAAAAACAGAAGTAAAATCCTTTCACACCTCTTTGTGGTATGGTGTGGGGGGGCAGGCCATGTGCCCAGTCTTCTGGAATCTTTTAAGTACATATTGAATATTAAAGAGAGGCAGAGATCAGGTTTATTGGCTGTTAGATGTTCTAGTCTGAGGAATGCACTCTGGATTCTTAGATGTCGATATCCTCTACCTCTAAAAATTGTCAATGTGCTAGTGCTGCCACTTTGAAAGCTATTGAGTGTTTTTTGGTTTGGTGTCCCAAGTATGTTCCCCTCCTGTGCACACCTGCTTTCTGTACTAAGGCCTTTCTTGTTACTTCCATGAAGATGCTGATACAGAATAAACAAATGCGGTGGTTACCCTGAACATCTGAAGGACACAATAATCTGTGGCTGACAGAAAAGGATGAAAATAATTTTTTCCAAGCTTCCATGACATCCAAAAATATTTAATATGTTACACCTCTACCCCGCTATAACACGAATTCGGATATAACGCGGTAAAGCAGCGCTCCAGGGGGGCAGGGCTGCGCACTTGGGTGGATCAAAGCAAGTTCAATATAATGCGGTTTCACCTATAACGCGGTAAAAATTTTTGGCTCCTGAGGACAGCGTTATATCGAGGTAGACGTGTATAATAAACCCTGTAGGTCGATGCATCTCAGTGTGCAGAAAAATCTCATCTGGCATAATCTACGGGTAAATGCTAGAGAAGAACACTGAAGATGGACTAGAAACGTGAATGCAACTTTTCTTTACATGATCTGCCCCGGGAAATCCCATGCTGGTTTCATTAATTGTACTCTTGAGAGGTCCAGAATCCTTTCCCACTAAAAACAAACACCTGTATGGAAACTAATCAGAGTGGTTTCATTGTTGGGTGTGTGTAAAACCGGAAAGAAAAACAACATTGAATAAATGAAACCCTAATGGGACCTGTCTAAAATACCGTGTCCTGAGCATGCTTCCTTACAGCTGCATTGCTTTCTGTAGCACAATTTTCTTTAGAAGTAATTGATACTCAATTGAAACAGGATTTTACTAAAGGTTCCCAATGGCAGAAGCATGGTTATAAAAGGATTTGTGTATTAAGACCCTGGTTCTCCAGTCTTCAATCCTTCTCCTGACACAGCTCTGGTCTCATCAGTTTTTCCTTCTCTTGTCTAGTAATATTAAGGTCAAACAGAAGTTCATGTGGTTTGCCAAGACTTTGTTCTAGGGTCTAATCCCAAGTGGGTTCAACAGATTCTCCTCTGCCTGTGGCAGCAGGTGTGTGAAACTTCAGTCAATGACCCAAACAAATGGTAGCCCCTTTCCTTGTTCTGCAAGCTACTGGGTAGTGCTGGTTCCTTCCGTTCCCTCTGACTGAAATGCAGAGTTTTGGGAGCTTCCTCTAATTACATCTCATGATAACATGTTTTAAAACATGGGGGTTGGAGCAACCTGGCTCCTTTTCTTCAAACTACTGAGGTCTCCCTTTGGCCTGTGCTTTTATAGATCTTGCAAGGTAAGTGATATCAAGCTTGGATACCTCTTGGCTGGGAGACACCTCTCGCACACTACAGCTAGTGGGGGTTGGGATGAATCCTGGGTGGTAGGTAGAATAACTCTAGTGTGCCTAGTATGAAGCTCTAACCGTTCTATAAGGCCTATAACTGAGGCTGGTGATGCCACTTTCCTGGCCACGTTTCTCCCCAAAGGTGCCTGCACTTCAGTGGTAGGTTGATTTGTAAACTAGCCTGGGGCATTTGGGGCTGAAAGATGCTACATAATGATCTCGTCAATTGCTATCCCTTCAGTTCCCCATGCGGGGGCTTGGTAACGAACGTCGCTAATTCGGCTCAGGTCAATGGGAACTACCCTGATGGCTGTTTGATGGCCCGTGTGAAAAGAACAGGTGGGTCTCATTCCATTTCCTATGAAACGTGTCTGCAACATCACCACCATTGCAGTTTCAGCAGAGAAGTCAGGAGGACTTGGACACCCTTCAAAAGATGGTCTTTCTGCAGCCAGGCGGAGAGAGTTTCTATTTGTATTACCGTAGCCCCTAGGAGCCTTAGTCCTGGAGCAGGACCCCATTGTGCCAGGTGCTGTACAGACATAGGACACAAAGCCGGCCCCTGCCCCAAGGAGTCTACAGTTAAATATGACAAGATACAGACAGGTGTGTGTTAGTGGGAAGCTTGTATTGCTGTACCTGTTATGCGGCTTGGCCTTGATCTACCAATCTAGGACCTTTCACCAATGCTAGATTTACCTCTCCCGGCGCTCCCCCACCAAAACAACTACTGCAGCCTTGGTGCCCGGCCCAGCGCCCGCAGTGAACACATCCTGGCTGCCATCCATTGACTTGCTCTTTGCTGGCGTATGAGGGGAGCGCCAGGTCAGTTAGCAGCAGGGTTCAAAAGGGAATCTTTGTGGCTGGTTCCAAAAAGCCTTTTCATGCTCTACCAGCTTTGTTCTCTTTGGAATAGCCTAGATTCAAAAAGAGGCTTTGCACCCTCCCCTTGTCCCCGAATGACTGCCTGTCCAGGAGCTTAAATAATAACCGAGGAATTGGATGGCTTTAGAAAGGAGAGAACTGGGTTGCCTGGTGTCGGAATGTCCTTTGTGCACCAAACCTAATCTCCATGTGAATGGCTGGGGACAGGCATTCACTGTTAAGATGTAGCTATTGCATCCATTTGTTTTCCAGGTACCCCAGCAATGGTCTGATTAAAGAATGCAGCTCTCTTAACCCATTAGGAGCATCAGTGCGAAAGAAGTTCTATTGAGCCCTCCTGCATAATAACGAGACACCGGGGATGGCACTGCTGGTACAGCAAAGTGCTGCGGGATCCCCGAAGAGGAGCAGCGATTCTCTGTGCCTGGTGTGTTTGTCTGCTACTCTTAACACCATTTTCTGCTTCATCCAGCAGAACCGTGTCCCCAGGTGTTGTACGCTCTATAGATCACGCCGCTGCTGAAATGCTAGCAAGCCACCCAGAGGCGAGTGCATGAGCGTAAATATTGCTACATGGCCATTACCATGGCTCCAGGAACTGTCTGGATGACTGATGTTTGACCTCCAGGCTACCCCGCCTGAGAGCCAGAAGGATATTTGCGGGCCAGGCTGGCTTGCAGCCAGGTAGTGTTTTTTGGCCAGCAGATGTCGCTGTGAGATTATTCCCATTTGGTCAATATTTCTGGAGATCATGTGAAATTTGCTTACTGCCTCTTTCACCAGTGGTCAGAGAGGATTTGCATTGCAGCGTGGGTTTGGCTGCTGGGGTCAGAGCTTGTAACCCTTCCTGAGATGAAAAGTCTAAATCAGATGCCCAACTCTCAGTTAGAATTTGGAGGAACAACCTGAAATTTCCTAGCAGCTTTTTAGGTTCATTCGGCTCTTCTCTTATCGTCTTCTCTCGGCGCACTTTCGAACACACGTGGCTTTTAAATGTAGAAGCCTGGGAACTCCAAGCCGGAGAAGCCATCCGCATCAAGCTCCTGCCAGTGCAGGGTGGTTCTCCAGGGAGGAAGGCTGGGTTTGGGGTTAAGGCATGGGCCTGGGACTACTTGGCTCTGCCACAGACTTCTTGGCTGGTCTTGGTCAAATCTCTGCACTTACCCTGCACCTCCATTCTGTAAGATGAGGCTAATATTTCCGTGTCCTGTAGAGGGGGTGTGAGCATAAACACTAACTCAGGCCTGCTGGTGTGGGCCATGTAAGGAGATAAACAGATAGGGCTTTGTCTACTCCAGCTCTAAATGTCTTTAACCACGAGCCCTTTGGGAGATTATTCCACACAATCAGCTCGGCCCTTTTGCAAATGTTTCCTGTTACCCGGCTTAAATTCCCTCGTCTAAATGTCATCCTAGTAGCTGTATCACGGTAGCACCCAGGGGCCCTTGGCGTGGCACCAGGCCCCATCGTCCTCGGAGCTGTATGAACAGCACAAAGAAACGGTCCTTGTCCCAAGGAGCTGCCAGCCTTTGTTCCGTAAGGGTCTGATCTGCTGGGGGTCGTTTCAGAGTCGCTTTAATTGTCACTCTTGGGCGAGATTGATGGAGAAATGACAAAACCCGTGTCCCTTATTCCTATCCACCGTCCTCGTTCTCCCTCTGGGGTGATTATGCAACTTACCCTAACACAGAGTGTGCCTTTGTCCCCTGCTAGTGGCTGGATAATAGTGGATAATAGCCTAGTGGTGCTATCAGCTGGAGGAGTTACTCCTTTAGCTCAAGCAATGG